ACACCTTTCACCACCCGCACACTTCCACACTTGAACAGCCAGCAGAACCCAGCCGACAGACACGCAAACGCACACCACCCACTGAAGCCACTTTGCACCTCATAATGACACACTTCATGACACACACGACTCTCTGCCAAAACGCCGAAACCACAACACCACACACCCATTCGAGAAAACGATGTAACACACACACACACACACACACAGACACCACTGCAAGGTCACTGTTTTTTTTTTGGTGTCACTTCTGCGACTCCATGCCTTACCACCCTTTACCCACACTGACACTTTTCTTGCACACTGAAGCCAAAAGGCACAGAAACGGCACACACAGCGACCAAAAATGAAGGCACAGAAAGGCACCACACAGCGACCAAAAGAAGGTGCAGAAAAGGCACCACACAGCAACCAAAAATGAAGACACAGAAAATGCAAAACACAACCAAAAAGTGAAGGCTAGAAAGGCACCAACACAGCGACCAAAATGAAGGCAGCACCTCACAGCAACCCAACAGCAACGGAAAAATTTAAGCACAGAGACTGCAACCCAACAGCACCAAAAAATGAAGCACAGAAAAAAAAAACATGCACCCGCAAACCAACCCACTTTGTTGCAACAAATTACACACACACACACATCCACAACACTCTTGCACATGCACACTCAGAAAAACAGCCGAAACGACAAAATGCACATTCTTATAATGTCTTTTAGTTCCGATTGCATTTTTTTCACCGTCTTCCTGGTCAATCGACAGCTTGCCGGGCACTTACCAAAACACTTGCTGACTGTTTGTGTTTTAGTTCAAAGCGTTTTCTCGAAATTTTCTCTTTCTGAAGCTTGCAACCGAGAGATCATCCCAACAAAACGTAAAGAAAACATTGAACAAAAGCAAGAGAAAATTCTTTTTCAGACGGGCCAAGGAAAAAGCAATGTTTTTGTAGTTCTTGCAAAAATTCCAAAAAAAACAATCACACTGACCTCTCATCATGGCCAGAACGACTTGAGAGTCGCCCAGCCTCGATTTTCATTCCCATTCGACTTTTTTGACAAAGCTTCGATTGCGTGCTCTTGTCTTTAATTTTCCAAAATGGCCAAACAGAAATTCAAGGCACACTGAAATTTGACAGAAGATTGAGCAGAAGAAACTCTGCTTTCTTTTTAGGCTGGGTGCCCTTAATTCTTTGTCTTTCGTTTTTGGTTGCGTGTTGCAATTCTTCCCTGGATTCAGCACCATTCAACGAATTTTTCAAAATTGCTGAAGTCCCGAAAATGTTGAAAAAACCCTCAAAATCAACACTTGATCAGTTAAATTTGTTGAATTTACTCTGGTGTTTCGCTCGCTTCGCTCGCACTTATTCACATTCTGGAAATACACTTTGCAATTTTCAGGTGGTTTGGCTTGGGCGTCGCGCGCAACCTTAACGAATCAACACCAGGGGTGAACTCGTCTCGTCCCGCAGTTGATTTCTGTCCAAACGGCACTGTCAGAGGCTTTTAAAAACACTTGTTTCAAAGCATTGAACTTTTCCAAGCTGTTTCCACCGATGTTGACTCTGCACCCTTCTTTTCTCCTCTTCTGCCTTCAGGCCTTGCACCAAAACCTGGAGAATCTGAAACCCAAGATGAGGGGCAGCAAAGTTGATCGAAAAGGTAGGAAAGCTCCAGTGACCTCCACAGTTTCTCTTTCTGAAGCTTGCAACCGAGAGATCATCCCAACAAAACGTAAAGAAAACATTGAACAAAAGCAAGAGAAAATTCTTTTTCAGACGGGCCAAGGAAAAAGCAATGTTTTTGTAGTTCTTGCAAAAATTCCAAAAAAAACAATCACACTGACCTCTCATCATGGCCAGAACGACTTGAGAGTCGCCCAGCCTAAATTCAAGGCACACTGAAATTTGACAGAAGATTGAGCAGAAGAAACTCTGCTTTCTTAGGCTGGGTGCCCTTAATTCTTTGTCTTTCGTTTTTGGTTGCGTGTTGCAATTCTTCCCTGGATTCAGTACCATTCAACGAATTTTTCAAAATTGCTGAAGTTCCGAAAATGTTGAAAAAACCCTCAAAATCAACACTTGATCAGTTAAATTTGTTGAATTTACTCTGGTGTTTCGCTCGCTTCGCTCGCACTTATTCACATTCTGGAAATACACTTTGCAATTTTCAGGTGGTTTGGCTTGGGCGTCGCGCGCAACCTTAACGAATCAACACCAGGGTTGAACTCGTCTCGTCCCGCAGTTGATTTCTGTCCAAACGGCACTGTCAGAGGCTTTTAAAAACACTTGTTTCAAAGCATTGAACTTTTCCAAGCTGTTTCCACCGATGTTGACTCTGCACCCTTCTTTTCTCCTCTTCTGCCTTCAGGCCTTGCACCAAAACCTGGAGAATCTGAAACCCAAGATGAGGGGCAGCAAAGTTGATCGAAAAGGTAGGAAAGCTCCAGTGACCTCCACAGTAACTGTGTCCAAGTTGTTCAAGCCGCGCAGCAAAGCAGCTGATGGAAAAAGTGCTTTTGCAAGTGGTAATTTTGGAACGTTCAAAAAGATCCGCTGAAAATAGGTGTTTGAGGGACAACATCACCGTGAAAGAATTTATATTTAACATGAGTCTTTGGCGGCTTTAATTTCGAAGTGGGTGTTTGGTCTTGTGTTTCCGTAGATACAGTTTTGGGTGGTTCTGCCAGCTTGATTCAGCTTGATGGGCGGGTTTGCTAGAAATGTAACACATCCAGAGCATTTCGGAAGAAACAGGTTTGCTAGGCAGACTGTGGGTGCCCGTTTTTGATACGTACAGCTTCTTTAAAGACGTGAAAGGAGATGGTTTGGTGTTTTTAAAACGTGATGAAGCTAGCGTCTCGATGTCAGAGATGTTACAACTGATACTCGAACAAGTTGAGCAAATGTAGAAGTCTCTACACGTGCCAATTGCTTTGCTGCTTAGAACGGCTGTGGAAGCTTCACTACTTTACTTGTGCTGTCGCGGCCTTGGTTGATCAAGCTTCTGATGGAATTTTTCTGCTTGGTTGGGATATTCGGCTTCTGCCAGAAGAAGTTCCTGCGTCTTGGCATGTTTTCGACGGTGTCTTCCAGGCCTTTTGCAGCTGTAGGCATTGCACGGGTTGTTGGTTCTCTTGCGTGTTCCTTGCACGTGTCTCTGGTGTATGTTTGCGGCGGTTGGGTTCTACGTTGCAATCTGCGGGCATTTCATGTCAGCGGAAAACGTATAATGCTGGTTAGTTAGTAGCCTCCAACTCAGTGAGACATTCCATGTTTTGGAGTGTGGCAGCTTTCGCAAGAGATGGAGTAAATCTTACACTCCTTGCCGAACATTGTTTTCAAATGAATCTCTTAGAATGTTTGTAGATAGGAGAACATTCTGAAACAGGCGGAGTGCAAGAACTCGTGCTTGACCTGTGGATGCATGCGTGACCGAATCGCAGCCCTCTTAGGGCGCTGTGTGTTCAACATTTCAGGAATCGAACACAAATTGCAACCATGAAACAGGGACATCAAAAGCAGCGACAAAGACTTGCATGAGAGAGACTGATCATCGGCGAAGGTAAGAAACGAAGTAGGAAACAACAACAACAACAACAACAACAACAACAACAACAACAACAACAACAACAAAACGAATAATCTACCTCCTGCGACCCCCCCCCCCCGGCCGGCCCAAAACCCGCACTTTTCGGGCACCGACCCCCCCAACTTCCCCGCTCCCCACCCCCACGAGGTTTGCTTAGAAGATTTCGAGAAGGTTTGGTTGGAACGCGGCACAAACTTGCGAACTGCTTGCATCTTCCCTTTCTGCTTGTGGGTGAGTCCTGTTTTCGCGTACTAGTAAAGCTATCCATGTGTGTCTCATAGAGGTAATTTTAATGTCTTTCCGTTGTCCTGGCATATTTTCTTCGTTACCTGATGCCGTGTGCTTTTTTAATTTTCTGAGGGTTCCGAGACATGAGATTTCTCACACATTTGTATTCTGATCTGCTTGGAAAGCCTTTCGGCTCCCAAAGAAACTTCAAAGGCCCCTCAGCGCCATGATGCGTTGTATTTCCATGGTTTTGTTGCTGTCAGGTGCTGCTCTGCGGCAAAGTGCAGATGAGGACAACGCCGAAGGTCGGACCATGTGCTGTGTCAAGGCAGCGGACAACCAACCGTCTGACGATCAGTTCCGCCGCGATGCTTCAGCGATTCTCGGTGCCATCACATATTTTGGTGCATACGGCGTAGACCTTGGCACAAATGGCAACTATTTTGAACGCGAGCACTTCAACACTCACTGCCACCAAGCCCTTCATTTGCAGCAGTGCCCCACAGTCCCAGGGTTCGTTTCCTATGACGAACCCCTTTCCCGGTACAGAGCGTTGATTGGGGACATCGGTGCTTTCCAGTCCAAGTATTCATTCCATGCCCCTGCACCCGAGACTGCTTGTCCAGCCGACTTCGTGGAGCATAGCGGGGAGCGCTGCAGCCCTTCCTTCCAGCATTTTATGCGGCTGCTGGATCTTTTCAAGCAGGTCCAGCAAGCAATCGTGGACTCGCGTGACACCAAGTCGAGTGGTTCAAGTGGCGGGTGGAGACTTTTTGGTGGCAGTTCTGGCACGTCCCAAAAGCAGGAGGCGCTCGAAAAGCTCCGCACGCTCAACGCCGAAATGAAAGCACTTTGGGCCTAAGCCGCATTTTTTGCGCCCACACGAGGCATACCGGGCTTGATACGGATGGAACCGAAACAGCAAAAAGTTGCTCGTTGTACCTGCAATGGTAGGAAAAGGAGGGATAAGGAGAGTCCAGCCAAGATGTATCGAAAAGTGAATTCGGGTGTCGCACTTTTGTACCGAATCTTTACCACTAGTGGCTGCTTTTGATGCAGCTTGAGTCAGGGCTTCGTCGCAACTAGGTTAGGCGTGGGTTCGCATGGCGCACGGGTTCGATTGCAGTTTTGTGATCTCAAAGGGAGCTGTTTGCCAATTGTTATCGTCTTTTTCTTTTTGCGTGTGATGGACGCGGTGGGATTGCGTTTCCTGCCAAAGGAGGAAGAGATGTCTTTGGCAGCCGACATAACGGCAGTGGCTTTTGCTGAGAGTCCCTTCTACAGCTATATCTTCCAAGAGCCTTCGACAAGGGTCAATGCCCTAACATGGCTCTTCAAGCAGAATTTTCGCATGCGTGCCAACCAGGGAGTTCTTCGGGGAGCTTTTTCAGGTGAGAAGATGGTTTGCTGCTTTCTCCTGGTGCCTGAGAATGCTGCTCCGGTAACCTTCTGGGACATGCTTCGGCACGGGCTCCTCGAAATGCCTTTCAGGTTCGGCCTGAGTTCTGTGCGCCGCATGCTCGCTGTTATGCAGTGGACGGATAAGTCTCTGGATGCTTTGAAGCAAGAGCACCCGAAGCATTTCTTGCTGGAGCGCATGGTGGTGCTGCCGGACTGCCAAGGCCAGGGGATCGGCACCGCTGCATTGACGATGGCTTTGAAGGAGGCGGATGGATCTGGCCGTGCAGTGCTTTGTCTGCAAGGGACGTTGTTGTGATGGTCTGAGTTTCCTGTTCCAAGTCTCGGTAGTACTGGCAGGAGGGTACATCAGCTTTTCGTAGGCGTCTGTTCCATAGCAAATTCGCGTTCGGCGTCGAGGTGATCCTGACGACTCAGCTCGAGAGGAATGTGGTTTTCTACCAGCGCCTTGGTTTCCAGGTCGTCAATGATGAGACTTTCGCTGGCGACGGCATGCAGATCCGGTGCTGGACTATGCTACGGTGCAGCGAGCCCGCATGTCCGGCACCAGTTTCTTGACGGACATGACCCGAGATGAAGGCGAGCTCCGCTGAAAACCCTACACCATGCGACAGGATCGACGTAAAAAATGGCGACAGATTCAAGCCTTTCTTGATCTTTCTCATCCGGCTTTAAGACTCCAAGAGGTCCAATTAACCACGAAACCCAGTTGGTACAGTTAGTACCAGGAATATCAATAGCAGCACATTGATCAATGCACCTCTCGATTTTGTCGATAAGCGTGCTCGAAATCTTGCTCCTCGGTGGGGCTGCCTTTGTGGGTCTGCAACATGGCCTCGCTCTCAGATGCCGGCTTTGTGTCGCACGAGCTTGTACTGTTGGTGAAGCGTTGTGGGCCTATGGCGCCTACGGCACGCTAGCAAGTGACCGCTGCGGCTAAGTCATGCCGAGCAGCATCTTAGTGCCTTTCGGTTTCGGTTATTCTTCGGACAATCCAAACAGCTTGAAGTTTGTGACAACCCACATCGACGCAGCTGCCACTTGTTCGGATTCCCAGGCCGCACAAGCTCGGCTGGGCGGCGCCTCTAAAGGCTCTCCCGCATCTGCCCTGTTGTTGAGGATTGCGTGATATTGCGGGGTGCGGGTGCATTCGGGTTGTGGTTCAGGAACTTGGGATTTCTCGGTTCAGAGCAATTCTACCGCAGCTCCTTGCTTTAATGATGAAGTTGCTTGAATTTCAGACCACCATGCCCCCTGACTTTTGATCAAATGAGAAAGTACATCTTCGGCATTTACGGGACTAGGATGGGTTGACGGTTGGCCCAACAACAGGTGCTCTTGTTGTGTTTAGATGTTCTGCAGAGCAGCAGAGTGTTGATGGCGCAAAATTCGCAGACGCCCGCGCATCGAGCAGCAGGAGGAAGTATCCGACCAACACAGGCAGCTCCAATGCCTCAGCACGAGAACGTCAAGCCGAAAGGGGGCGGAACTAAAACAGCAACGATCACCTTCTAGCAGCTTTAGCGGTTCCAGAGGTTCACCCAAATTGCATCACCAAAGCTGCAGGCAGCTCTTTGGAGGAGGCGAAAGCACGGGCTGCCTCTTGGCGAACTTATCGGCTCACGCCAACTCAAACTTTCTTAGAGTGCAGAGGTTTGGGGTGTCGATTTCTGGGTTTTGAGCGGCGAAAGCCTTCAGCCAAATATCGACAGTCAAGAGCCTTGTAGGGCTGACGCAACGACCGGATGGAAACAGCACTCCAAAGACAAAGGCCAGTCGGGCAGCCAGCCGTGCGGCCGCGGAAGCAGAGGGTTCCCGTGCGGCGGGGCAGCTGGCGTCTCGAGCCAAAGGACCGCGATCGTGTGTCAGGTTCAAGGATGTCAGGGTTTCAGGGATCAGTAGTATTGGGATCTTGAGGTGCGAGACATCAAGGACTGCGGTCTGTATCTTGGTGTTGGAAGTCGCGTGATTTTGGTGCAATTGAGGACCCTTGCCGCAAAGCACGGCGGATCTGCAGACGGAGACCACAGGCTCTTGTCTCGGCACATCAAGCAATGAGATTTGTACTTGAGAGCCTTAGCAGGTAAGCCTAGAACCCTTCCACGGGCCGCGGTGCATGAAAGGTCATCTATTGGCTACTCTTCAGATGAAGCTGAAGGACATGGATGATGAGGTGAAGGCCACACTAAACTCATTGAACCACCAATGCCCTGCGCGGGCTGCTGTTTTCTCATTGGTGTGGAAGTGCAAAGCCGCTTACAGCTTCATACATGGGGTTTCCAGAAATTTTTTCCGGCAGCACCCCCATTTAATTAAGGGACATGCGCGCATCATGTGCTTCATGCTGATTTCCCTGGCCCAGGCAGACGAGAGAGGTGCAGAGGAGTTGCGCAGACACCTGAAACGATTGCAGCAGGAGTGGGAGCTAAGACGGCTAATTTGGCATAGCACGCACAGGTTCTTGCAAGGCATTCTGCGCACAATGAGAGGTCTAGGGTCTTGAGGCGTTTTTCGGGTGAATTCATTGTGGGTAGTTTCCCTCCCCCCCCGAGCTTTTTGTCCACAACACAGAGGACTCAACAGAGGCTTCTTGATGTTACGCTGCTCGTGCCTTCCTTGCGGTGAAACTCTCCGCGCAGCTCTTTCCGCTTGCTGCCGCGTGACTCTTGACCTGGGCGCAGCAGGAGCATGCAGAAATCAAAAAGGCTCCGAACTAAGCAAGCTGCGCAAGGTGATGATGGTGATGTCGGGTGTAGACAGAGTCTCGTGTGTGGCGGAGATAGGTTCTTGAGAGTGTCTTGGCAGTCAAAAGGGGGTACACGGGTTGGCCGAAGTTCATTCCCAGCAGCAGTAGCTCTCAGCTTCTCAAGGCCAGGGATCGGGCAGCTGCGCTGGTCGAAGGCTACGAGGTCCGAACTGGCTTCGCTAGAAGCCCCTCTCTCTGTGCACCTGAAACCTGCAGCCCAAGCCCCAACATGAGTCATCATGCGTCTCTTCCAGCTTCTGAGCAAGGACATGTGCAGTTTATAGTCTTGCTGTGCTGCCGAGAGGCTGGTTCCATGACCTTTGACAAGGACACATGGACAACATGGACACGTGAAGTGAGCATCACCTCGACCTCGGATGTGTCGAAAAATAATTAGGTACTCTCGAGGTGGAAAGTTGGAGGTGGGAAGGATGTTGCAGCATAGGTTTGCTGGTAAGTCACGTTCCCGTACACACAAGAGCTTTTGCTGAAGCAGTGTGCTGGGCTCATCTGTCCGCACAGCTTCAGGACATCAGGTAGAACATGTTTCTGTGCTTTCGAAGATGGATAGATAAGCATGAGCTGAGCAGAAAAATCTTACATCAGGATCATCAGGGGGCACTGTTGCAAAGCCGGTGCACGAATACTGGAGTCCAGACCCTGAACAAGAATGGAGCCCCACCCCGGACCCTCAGCTTTGACGATGGCGAGGATCAGGATGAGGTCTCTATTGCTTGTGACTGCAGGAGTACAGCAAGCTGATGGACAGCTCGGATGAGACATACAAAATGGCCAGCAGCTGAGTGGAACGTTGAGATGTCGTCGTGGGGGAGAACGTATGCTGTGGGAGAGCTACCGAACAGAAGCTTTGCTACAAAGGCCCGAGTGAAAGTCCATTGACACATGTTGACACATGCGACACCCTAAACGCGCCCTACACCCACTTCTGAAACCCTAAGGTGCGGGCGAAACACAAGGAGGCCATTGGCATCCTGCACCGCCCTGAGCACCATCTCTTGGTCTTTGAAAGCCTGAGTGTAAACTTTATCCACCGCCCTTGCGGCCCCAGTCTCAACGCCTGTGCTGTCAGTGGCTTGCTACATGGAGAGTTTGTTCGAGTAATCGACCATGCTGAGTCGAGCCCTGTGGACCTCTCAGGGAAAAGGACGACACGTTTGCGTACCACGCTGCCTACAAGAGGCCAACTGACAAGTCCACAGCCTGAGAACTGCAGGGTATAGGTGGTGCCTCGTGCTGAGTGCTTATTTCGATGGGGTCAGGTTTAAAGTTCCTTGTAGTATTGTAACCGGCAAGGCTACGGGCAATCACTTGCGACTTCGATCATAGATGGCCGGCCCATCACTGAGGTTCGAAGCGGCGTATTTCACCCCGACGCCTCTCAAGAAGGGCGAGGACAGCCATGCTTGCATGCTTTGCCGATCGTTGCAGGCTTTCAGAACCTTAAACAGCCCCAAACTCTAAATCCTAAACCATGTGTGTGTTTCATCGGCTAGGGCAACGCGGGGTGTAGTGTGCAAGGGGGTCGGGTCTTAGGGCAGGAGGGTGGGGGTCCTAGGGAGGTCCAGGGTGGGTTTTGAGACGGGGGGTCTGAAGGGGTGTTAGCAGGGTGGGAATGGGTCAGTTTATTGTTGGCCCTCCTTTGTGCTTTTTGGGTTTTCCGTGGGGGGGGCTCACAATGCTGAACTTGCCTGGCATCGGGTTTCGGCTCCTCCAAGCGGTTTGAACAAGTCCCACGGGGCCAAGGCGGTGGGGGGGTGCAGAGAGTTGGGGAGGGTTGGGGAGAAGACCACCAGATCCTGGTCTGTTCTAGACGGCGAATCAATACCGTGAAGGAGATCGATGGCGCAATATCCCATGCTCTGTAAACAGGCGTAGGTCTTTGTGTGTCTATGTAGAAAAAAGAACGAGTCCCATGAAGCAGAATAGGTAAATACGTAATAACTTGGCAAACAAAACACATGTATGAATGTTTTTTAGATTCATGTTTCTATTTTCCACAGACAAACAAGAAAGCTTTTGTGGAGTTCCTTGGCCAAGGAGAAGAAGAGCCCTGCTCAGATCAAGCTCGAGCGGATGCGCAAGCAGGGAACACTCTCGCAGGCTCCGGTCCTGCACATCTCACGGAACCCAAGACACAGCTCTTCAGCTTACTTTTTCGTGCACCGTGAAGAGTTCCAAGGCTCAGGATCCCCTCAAATATCCTGAGCAGACCGTAGGTTCGCAGGCCGAAACCTGGCAATGGCACAATGGCTCCTGGCTTCCTTCCTGGCAGTAGCTGTGGCAGACACCAATCCCACAGGCAGTAGCTCCTGCCCATGCGTGGAGTGGGCCGGGCTACAGGGCTACATTCAGGGCGGTGAGCTGAAGTACACCCCACCCGGCTCCACCACTTCGTACGTGTATCCGTCCGACTATGGGAATCTGCAGTGCAAAGCGCATGATGCCAGCCTGGCTCCCCATTGCAGCGGCGCATCGCCTCCGGCGTGGTGTAACAAGCCTTGGTGCTACGTTTCCGTGGCCAACTGTGCCGGCATCCAGCCCTACAGGAGCGTGAAGTTCCCAGGATCGGATGCTTACTACAGTTACCAGACCTGTGGAGAGTCCAACGAGTTCACCCTCTGGGCCGAAGCCATGGGCACAGACGGCACGGTCACGAGCGACCCGACAGCTGCGCCTCGAGTCACCGAGCTCCTTGATGTGGTGATGGACTACCTCTGGAGCACAAGGGACTCTTTGGAGGCGCAGTATGTCCAAATGATGGCCAATGGCAGCGTGAGCGCATGCAGCTACATCGACTTTTGCCCGTGTGTGGAGTGCTATCAGAATGCACTCTGGCAGGAGAAGATCGACCCAGCCACGGTAGGAGCGTGGCTACGGCCTTCTGTGATTGGACAGACTACACAGGAATGGAATGTCCTGACCTGCCTGGTGGGTCTTGTAGCAGCCACCTACAGCAGTGTGGCGGCAAAAGAGGGTCAGCCACTCGAACGTATCGGCTACCAGTACTTTGCCGACCAGAAGTCTGGTAGTTACATTGGCTGGCCTGCGATGGACTGGTGCCCGACGAACTACGACCCACGTTTCCGCCCCTGGTACGCCTCGGGCTCGACGGGTCCGAAGGATGTCGTGATTGTCGTGGACGTGTCGGGCAGCATGGGCGAGGCGAATCGCTACAACCTTGCTCGGCAGGCGACGGATGCAGTGCTGGATACGCTGGACTGGAAGGACTATGTGGGCGTGATTCTCTTTAATCATGGTATTTCAGCACGGTACTCCAGGAGTTTGATGCCTGCTAGTGAGGCCAACCGCAACAGCATCAAGAGATGGTTGGATGATCGGAACTTCAGGAGCGGCGGCACGGACTTCAACGTCGCTTTAGACGCGGCCTTTGACACAATTCAGTTCAGCATAGCTGCGGGGTCAACCTCAATGTGCCAGAAGGCAATCATCTTTCTCACGGACGGAACTGCAGACATGTCGAATGACAATTTCGTAAGTGTCCAGCAGCAATCGCAGACCTACGATGCCGTTTTGTTCGCATATGCCTTGGGTTCGGGAGCAGACACCACGGTGACAAAGCGATTGTCCTGCGAAAACCGTGGGATATTTTATCAAGTCCCGGACGGGTCGGATCTGAGCCGCATCATGGCTAGTTACTATGAGTACTTCGCCACGGGGCAGGAGATCTGCCAACCCTCTTTCACGAGCTACACGGACGTAGTCACAAACACGAAGTTGTGGCCAGTCTGCCTGCCGACTTATGACCGAGCGGCAGCAGACCCCGCACTGTTGGGCGTGACTTGCTTGGATCTCAACATGATCGTGGATCCAGGGACTATACAGTCCGAGTCGTACTGGGACGACATCAGCTGCAAGGTCTCCGATTTCACGAAGACCTGCCAACAGTTGGATACCAGTGACTGCCGCCTGCAACGGCTCCGGGCCGCCGTTGGCACAGAGTCTGTGTGTGAAGGTGACGTGCCGAACACCTGCTCTTGCATGGACCCAGATTGTCAAGATGATGCATCCTTCATCGACGAGAAAGGTTACTTCTGCGATACGTGGGTTGGTGACGACTGCTCCAAGGCTCAAGAGGCCTGGGGCTACTCTGCCGCCGGCCAGCAGGCAGCACTGACAAGGTGCCGGCGCTCTTGCGGGCGATGTTCCATGCTGTCCCCATGCCCAACCAAAGAGCGGTGTGTGGGCACTGAGCGCTTCTCCTCCAGCGGCTGTCGGGCGTGCCGTACGGACAAGGTGTCTGGGGTCGACATCCAGGGCAGGCAAATGGCCTGTCCAGGCGTTACCACCTCTGCCACCCCCAATGCCGGCAGCGCATCGGCCAGCTCGAGCAGCATGAGGCTGATGGCTATGCTCGTGCTCTTGGCACGTTTCACCTTGGCATTTTTTGAAGGATAGCCGAGATTTTCGCCATGAGTTTCACCTGGAGCTCTGCTTTGCAGAGCTTTTGCCAGTGAGTAGTCTGGCATGGACAAAGGAGGGGGGGAGACCTCAAGAAGCGTACGGCCTTAGAGCCGAAAGCCGAAACCCTAAAGGCCCTAAAGGCCCTAAACTCATCTAAACTCCCTAAACCCACTAAACCGGTCAGGTCGGCTCCATGGCTGCAGGGGCCGCGACCTCCAGCGTCTGCCCGGCATCAATAGCTTCAATAGCTTCAATAGCTTCAAGAGGTTCAAGAGGAGACAGTACGAAGGGTTGGCATCTGATGCAAGCTTAAGAAGATTCCGGTGGTAACTTCAACACACAGCAGAGTACTTTCTAGTCAAAGGCCAAGGATATGATTGTGAATGGTATTTCTTAGGTCATGCGAAATATTTGGTGAGATAAGCGGCCGTCTAGATGTGTTTGGACGAGGGCACCACAAAGACCCCAAGAAGGCCATACATTACACACGCGGACTTGTCCAACCATTCTGGCTAAACCCTGAACCAGAACAAACAATTTCTACGCCCCAAACCACCCTAAGCCCTAAACCTATCGTGGCCACTCGGAGAAAATCAGGTTGTCGTCGGATCTTACAGTGTCGTCGGCGAGGGGAAGTCTTGAACTCCTAACTTTTCGGGATTGCCTCTTGAATTTTGGAGGGCCCAAGCCGTTTTTTCGGGAAGTGCACATGAGAGTTTTTTCCCTGGAGTCCCAGGAATTGTCGTTCAGGAAGAGGGTGCGCTACGACAGAACGAAGTCATTGGTATGTTGTTGAGCGGGTGTTTTGATGCAGCTTAGTCAAGCTGGTTTGTAAAGGGTTGTGCAGCTACTAGTATGTAGGTGGTCATTTTATGGAGGACAGCACAGAAAATCCTCGTCTTCTCAATCCATAGGGCCAAGACCTTGCAGATGATGCTTCAAAAGAATGCAACCCACTAGCCTCAGTAGCTTCACAGCCCCAGCCTTCTTCATGTTGCCAGGGTTAGCTCGACTGGTCTGGTGTTCTGACCTCAGCTAGGGGAGATCTGCTTGCTTGCAACAGGCTTTGTCTACCGCGTGCACTGGAAAAACCATATTGCACAGCTTGCAAGTCTTACCTTCATACTACTTCCTACTGAATGTGCAGCATTGGCAAGTGACTTTAGACGATACTTCCTGAACACCTCGTGTTAAACTGTGGATTGCAAGCCCTCGTGAACGCCCATGGTGCACCGAGTCACCGAGGGCTTATGCAGCAACCTGGGCGGGCTGAAGGTCTGGGTCCACAGTCGTAGCACGAACGTGCTGGCAACATGGCCCGGAAGGCAACTAAGCCTCTGCGAAGCAGAGCTGCTTGAGAGAGGCTGATCTGTCCAGAGAAACGACCCGACCGTGCCAGCTGCATTGGCCAACTTGAGTTCTGATGCTGCAGGCAGCCTTGTGTTGGATTTACTCTTCCTGTGTGGTCCAAGTCCTCGACAAAACAGCTGTGAGAGCTGTCAAATGTCAGCTGCCAAAGGTTGTCAATCGAGCCTTGCGGGCCGAAACCCTCCCCTGCCCACCCTCCCCACATCTCCCAGCACCCTCCTTCAGACTTCTAACCATGACCTAACCAGGAGAGACTGCCTCCCCCTTTTTGGGAGCCAACCATCTCGCACCCCCCAAGCTGGTCTCTTTACTGCGCGGTCATGGCCAAGTTGTTCGAGGAGATCTTCCAACCCGGAGGCCAGGGCTCTCCAGAGTGGGGGAATGTGGGGGATGTTTTGAGGGATAGTTTTTGAGAGGGTCAATGGGAGAGAAGCAACAGCAGCTGACCGGCTCGACCTCTCGGAGTTCGTGTGCCTTGAGTGACTTGAGTGCCTCGTACCTTTCGAAACATGGGAAGAAGGCGGGCTCCTAAAGGCAGCCAATCTAGATGCGTAGACATGCGTCCTTATCGGGTGCAGCGCTCGGCGTGCAAGGGAGTCTGGGCGGATGTGTGCAGAAACAAACCCGTCTAAATGTATGTTCGATGACCCTGAACTCTGGCCCTGGATGCAGGCTCGGGAGACACGCGTTTGGTCATCACTGATCCACGAGATGCCAGAGATCCCATGGGGGCCGAAGGTTGGGCAAGTGCCGATTTTGGCTTTTCCGAACCGCCCTTGTACACGTCTTTTGACGCGTGAGCTTTGCCGCCAGATGCCCTCCACCTCTGCTGTCACTCGCTGATCCTCACGCCGGGCTCTCAGCATGGAAGCTGTGAGGATGACATGCCGTGCTCATTTTGTAATCTACAGCCGAAGCCCACAGACCCAAGATGCCCAACTGCCCCCTTGTGAGGCAGCAGCCCTACTTCTACAAAATGCTTGGCCCACGACTGAGACATGATGAGTTGATGGAGCTCTCAAACGACCAAAGCCAAACGGCCGCCAGGCTCGGAGACGCCTCTGCGAGAAGGCATCACGCGGGAGGCACGCGGCACGCGGCACGCGGCACGCGGCACGCGGCACGCGGCACGCGGCACGCGGCACGCGGCACGCGGCACGCGGCACGCGGCATGCCGACCGGCCTTGAGGGTGTCGTGAACCTTTAGCCGCAGGCTCTAATCTCGGAGCCCCGCACCGAGGCAAAGCTGGGCCTAGGTTGTGTGCGAGTAGCTGGATCCCGTGACTAGAAGCTTGGCTGTGCAGTTTGTGGAGCTGCTGCGCTTCATCTACACGTCGATCCGTGCCTGTTTTTTTTTTTTAAGCTCGAGATGGACTTGTCTGATCTCCAGAACCATGAGCCAGTGCCAGTCCAGTGCTATTGTACCTTCGGTAGCGTGCGACACCCTCGATCAGTACTCCAGCACAGAGGTTTGTGTCCGTTTGCCAGGAATCAAGTCGACATCAATGAGCACACAGTTCTTGGTCCTGTGCTGAGACTTTTTCTTCGGGATCTGCACCGTGACGAGCAGCTTGAAGCTCCAAGCAAGTGCTAGTTGGGACGCGTTAGATGGTCGCGTTTCTCGGAGTTGCGTGTCTGCGTCCCTCCTTGCTGAGGCCTCCTCACTTTGGCAGACAAGCTGCTCGGCTTCAGGGTTTCTGGCTCTGGGTTGTAGTAGCAATCTAAGTACTCAGTTCACAGTGTTATTGCGGATCAGGGCTATTCAGTGCTCAAGATCCCACTGGATTCAGAAGGACCTCTCTGTGTGTGTGCCTGAGGTACTGCATAGACGAGGTTGTGGACCTGTGTCTCAAGTACGTCAAGGACAGCCATCGGTTGCGGCGTGTAGAACAATGACTGAGGATACTTTGGATGCTTTGCAGCGGCATTTGCACAGGACAACTTTGATGCAGAACCTTGGGCGGCAACAGTGCGAGTGCACCAGTCTTTGTTTTGAGATGCAACGGATGGGTCACAAAGGACATGTTCTTCACCTTCTACGATATCACAACCCTCAACTCCACTTACCAAGACAAACTGAAGGCTGGCACTTGTCCTGCAAGATGTGGCATCTTTTTTCTCCATATGCTGGGCGGGATGTCAAGACTCTCTCGAAACAACAGTCTGTGCAGGGTGTGCGTGGTCACACAGTTCTGTGCTTCATACGCAAACAGGCTCCGCCCAATCCCTCGTCCCTCGGCTCAAGCGCCATTTCGAAGAGACCCCTCCGTGCACATTGGGGCGTGGAGGGGCTTTATCATGGCGAGCGACATGAAGCCGCCTCAATTCGAGGTGGGGCGCTTCTGCATCGTATGCCTCGCAGATCAAGTTGCTTGAGGGTGCCTGGGAGCAGGGTTTTGAAGTGGGTTTGTCTTCATAACATAAGTAGCAGAAAGCAGAATGCAGGGTCAAGCGAAGTCTCATAATTGACCCTGAAGTTCTGACCTCGGATCTTCTCAGGGTGGTGGTCCGATGGTTCTGGCACGAGCCTCAGGGAGTTCGAGTTTTTGGTCTTTTAAAGCAGTGTTGTGTTGCATTGTGTTGCATTGTGTTGCATTGCACGCCTACAGCCTGTTACGCCTGCAGAAGTCGAAGCCCAGGTCCGGAACACATTCCTGGACATCGAGACGCCCCCCGACCCTGGTGAGATAGTGCGCTCGAAGACGGCCCCACCAGGGAGTGGTGGCGCCTGGGCCAGGGACTCAGCTCAGCAAGGTCCGTGGAAAGTGTAGGGCTTTGTCAGGCAGTAGTTTGCCTTGGGAGGAGATTTTTTAAGGATTTCTCTAGGGGTTCTCGTGGCTTGCAACGAGCATACAATTTCCACCATTCATGCCCACAAGATTGTTTGATTTTGTCTTCATATTTTCTAAGGTTTTGTTGGGGTTCTTGCTTGACTGTACTGCACACCCACCTTGAAGCTACTGAATGTCAAGCTGTAAGGCCGCCTTGCCGTGCTAAACCCCACGCACGCGTGTCGCAGGACAACCTTGAGGAAGAGGAGGAGGAGGAGGAGGCCGAACTTGGGGGTTGAACCTCTCCGAAGTACGGTATACAGTATCCTATTCTGAGCCCAAAGCTGCTCCGCTTTCAGGAGCCGATCGAAGTCGAAGGCGTTGGGCACCCAGTCCTGGCTCGTCTAAGCTTTCAGCCGCTAGCTTGTTTTGCCTCTTCTCAGTGAACCTGAAGCCTGCACTAGTTCCGCAAGAGGGTCGGTAGTCTAGGCTTTCTTTTGGTTCATGCTGTTCAGCGTTGTTGAGAACTACCGAGGCCTCACCTGGCTCCGATGACTTCATCGATGACAAGGGTGACGGCCCTCTCTGTAGAACGGTCCCTCGGGCCTCTAACAAGGCGAGTTTCCAATACCTCCAATTGCATGCGGAATCATTCTGGAGTAGCTCTGGATGGTCCCCCCCACACAGAGAATCCTTCTTTCTAGATCTGAAAGCGCACCAGCTCAATCCAAGGTGACGCACGAGTGGCTTGAGGACTGGCCGAAGTTGGGCAGATCTGGATTGTGAACCTTTCTTAGGTCTCTGTTCTGACTGTTCTCCCCTTACTCCCAGTCAAAAGCACAATGTCGGCCCCAGACTGGAATGTCAAGGCCACACCACCCGAATTCCGCCCGAACCCGGAGGAGCCCCTTCAGTGGCGATGGTCGGGTGAAGATGCAGGCACCAAAGACCCTAGAGACCCTATGCCCCGCTAACCCATAAATGGAGTTGATCCGAAGTTAAGCAGGGCATAGTCGTTCTTAGCATCCGCAATGCCTTCAGAGTGGGAGGACCTTATGAGATTAGGCGTATGGGTGGCATTGAGCGCATTGAGCGCATTGAGCGTGAACATCGGGTTGAGGGTTTACAGAGATTTGGTTGATGGGATACTCGGCCAGTGCACATGGTGTTGCACATTCCGGGCCTGTTTCTTTTGGTTTCTTGTGTTTCTTGTGCATGCATGGAGTGCCCCCAAGCTTTCTTCGGTCCCCAAGTTTCATGCTTCCGCGAGCAGTGCGGCAGGGCACCTCGTCGGCGGCCAGGCGCGATGGCTTGTGTCAGGAGGTTCCGTCATGAAGTCCTGAGGTTGTGCTTCAAAATCCGAGCTGAAATTGCCCCTTAAGGCGGGTTCTGCCCCAAGCGCTGCTCCGGCATCCGGTGGCTGCTTGGACCATAGATGGCCAAGAGACTCCTGTCGATTGCCGTGCCAATGTAGACCAGGGCCTCGGCACTAGCGCCATTACGACGAATACGTTGCTTCGTTTCAAGGGTGCTACCGACGCCGCAGTGCAGGTGAGCTGTGTCAATGGGTATCATTGTCGACCCTCAAGCCACGCAAGACCATACGTTTTGCAGGAAGACACCTGCACAGCTCTACTAATGTTTGCCCTGAGGTCCTGCGCCGACCCCTATGGCTTTCCAGCCGGTGCAGGATTGGGAACAACTGTGTTGTAGAGCTCGCGACATGAAGCAGAGTGCCCTTCAATCCCTGGATGGTATGAACCCAAGACCTAAGCTTCCAAAATATCAAAGCTGTGTGCGGAGGCTGCAGAGCCGATGCGGCAGATGCCACCGCAGATGCCGCAGATGCCGCAGATGCCCCAGCCGCAGATGCCCCAGCCGCAAATGCCGCAGCAGCTGCAGGGCCCCGACCTCAGTAAGAAGCTTCGTAAAGCCAGATGAAGCCCTTTGAACCGATCCAGGCATCAAGAAGGTGCGCGAAGTGTATCCTCAAGTCAACTTGGCAAACCACTCGTTCGAAGTTGAGATGGGTGCAGTCACTACGTGCAGCTGCAAGTAGTGCCAGAGCTCCCGGCGACAGAGATGCTCCAGCTTTGTGTACAGGTCAGCAAATGCCGCAGCAGCAGATGCCGCAGCAGCAGATGCCGCAGCAGCAGATGCCGCAGCAGCAGATGCCGCAGCAGCAGATGCCGCAGCAACAGATGCCGCCGTGCCATGGCTGCAAGACTTTGCCTATGACCAATAACGCACAATGAGAAGAGCCTGAACCCAGCCCCTGAATTGAATGTCTTTGCCAATATCCGGCACTTGTGCATTGAGGATGGGGATGGTCTTCATGCCCGTCGCAATGGCCCCAGCGCCACCGGCACCAATGAATGCAGGTGGAGGCAGGGTCCAAGAGGTTCCAAGAACAGCCCAAGCCATCAAAACCCTCAGAGCAGAACTGATCTTGGATACTTTCCAAGAACAGGGGGGCCCCCTTTTTCCCCCAAATAGAATCGAATCCTTATTGCAGGGTCTTCCACTCCACCCTTTATGAGAGACATTTTCGGCAAGCGCCCTGCCAGGCCCAGGGCCCAGTGGGCCTGTAGCCGCGGTCGCCCCCGGAGGGGGCTACGGGGGCCCTGAGCAGCTTCCCATCATGCGCCAGCCGGACCGGGGGGCGAGGCGAGGGATTTTGTGGGCAGAAGGTGGTTAAGAGCCTAAGCCGCTTCGAACCAGAGGCTCTCTTGGAGCCTTCAACCCGAATCTCGTGGCTTTACATCGGAAAGCAGGTGAGAACTCCAAGCGGCTTTTCGGAGCCCGACTCTTGAGGTGGCCAGCGCCCGGCGTCGGCCCGCTGCCTGTGGGTCCCATGCCGCAGAACGCACAGAACAGCGTCATTGCGACCTGGCCTGACTTGGGATGGCGACTTCATGGTCCAAGTTCCTGGACGGTCTTCTACAACCCTGCAAGTTATCCATGATAGGTCGCCACGTCAACATACAGTGAGTAAAAGTCTGGGCAAGCCAGATTCGAATACATGTCGCAAGTGTGCAGGGTGAGCCCTGCCATGGTCGGCATGGACACGCTTCGAGTGAAAGTTCAATCTTTCCAACCACCCACAACCTCACGGCGTTTGCTCACAAGTTTTTTTGCTGCAGTCCAGAACTTCCAAAGACCAGCGCGTCAGCATCTGGAAGCTCAGGTCACCGACGGCTCGTCGGCACCCAGCTCGACGATGGCGGTGTCCAGCTCAGGTCGGAGGGGGATGTGGGGGTTTTCGGTGGTTTTTCTGTCGAACTCGTCTTTTGAAGTTTTGAGGGTTGAGGGCGGTAGGGGTGCTTGTCAACACAACTGGAAATCAGGGTAAGCGGAATGCCTCTTAAGGTACTCCCAAACAGGCAATGACAAGCCCTAAGCCCTAAACTCCTGGAACCCGAAAACCGGCGCTGGGAGGTCGCGACTCTACGGCGCCTCCGCAGCCCCAGACCCTCACAAGGGCCTTTAGCAGCTCACCTCAAGCTTAAGGCTTTGGGTTCAGGGTTTTTAGGCCCTTCGGTGCAGCCAGAAAGCAGAGGTGCCCTTGGTGTTTCGGCTTGGGCGAATTCTGAACACCGTGCCGGCAAGCCTACGTAGAGCAACATAGGGTCCTATAGATTGGGGAGATTCAATGCTTCGAAAATTAGTGCGGTGTATTTATTCATTGGGGGTGGTGACCCGCTGGCGGCCACCTCCGCGGCCGAGGCGAACAAAAGATGTTGCTGCTACTACTTTCTACAAGTACAATTCGAGTACTCAAGAGGTTGAGAAGGTTGAGTCCGTGGGTTTTACACTTGAGAAGATTTGCGGTTCAGGATGTCGATAGGTAAGCTTAGCACATGCGCTGCTGGCAGCAGAAGCAGAGCGGATCGTGTGAAGGCGATCACGGCTTTCTATGGCAATGAAGCCTTTCGGGGTTTATGATATCAAGAAGTGAACCTGGTTTCAGGAGTGGTTGGAGGGACTACGGGGACCGACGATAGCTAGAGAGGGTTGCTTGTGTCACTTGTGACATCTTATCTCCTTGTGTACCTCGCAGGATTCACAAGTGATCCGAGGCATATTCTGTTCAAATGGACGAAAACACATGTTGGAAATGACGCCCTAGAGATCTGTTATGTCACAAGTGACACTTTGCACATATCACAAATGAACCGGCATACTGACCGCTTGAGAGTAGTGTGCTTTTGTGACACAAGTCTTAGATGTCAAGACGCCCCTCATGCCACGCAATGCCTCAAGATAAGTCCGTGTGCCAGTTAGGGTTGGCTACACCACTGACCGCTCTGTGCGCTCTCTCTCGCTCTCTCTCGCTTTCTGTTTCTGGGGAAGCCGCCTTACAGCCAACATCTGATGCCGAGGTGTGAAGAGCGGCTTCTTCCGCGTGTGCCTGGGTTACGTTTTTAAAGAGGACCGAGTGCCGGAGGAGAAGTAGCACCGTTAGTCCAGTCCCATTAGTCCAGTCAGTCCCTCTCAGTTGTACCCAGAGGGGTTCAATCTTGAGTCAGCTGCAACAATGTCACTAGCAGCTTCGCTTGTCTGCCAAGGGCTCATGGGCTCATGGCATCGAAAAGATTTGACCCAACTCAGGGCCAAACATGCTCAGGCACTGGACCGTGGATGGGCGAAAGCTCCGGGGCAACGAGAAGCAAACAGCAACGCGGCAACATGCGGCAACGGCTTGGATAGTCGAGGCGAGTAGAATCGCGAGCGTTTCGGCCCACCAATGTCAAACATCCCTCGCCCCAAACTCCTGAAAGCCTTATGAACATCTGCAGCCCGGACATCCGAAGCAACCCCAGACTTAGGTATCGCCGCCGTTTGAGCTGTCCTTCGGCCCCAAATATCCGGCAGTCACGCCTCCGAGCCGCAAAAGGTTGGGATTGTTTATGAACAAGTTGCTGGAGCCTTGAAGGGTCACTGCTCACTCGGGTCATGCCCAGCTTCCGCTGCCATGGCCATGAAGGCCCGAAAGCCTGACCACGAAAGCAGAGAGCATGGGCAGCATAAGGTTCAAGATGATGATCTATCCGGAGATGGTCAATGAAGGCAAGGGCGGATGCTGCTTCAGGCTGGGACCCTCACTTCCCGAGTAGATTGTTCAGGGCTTGAAGGCCCCAAACCCGAGTTAAACCCTACTTGAGCCATCTTAACCCGCAACCCTCAACCCGTCATTTTGGTGTGAGAGCCCCGAGTACTCTCGTCTATTCCAGACCCTCTGATGTGTGTCTGTGTGGGGCCCAGCGGTCAGGAAGTCGAAAGGAAGAGGATACTCTGCTGCATTGGTTCCAGGGAATGCGACCTTTGCCATGAGCCATCGCGGCCTTTGTTGGTCTGGATGGCACCCCCATAAGGCTCGTGCGGCTTTCGCCAGCACTCTGGTAGCCACGGGTGGCCATAGTAGCAGGAACAAGGATCATAAGCAGCAACAAACAGCAACAACGACAGCAACAACAGCAGCAACAGCAGCAACAACAGCAACAACAGCAACAACAGCAACAACAGCAACAACAGCAACAACAGCAGCAACAGCAACAACAACAACAACAACAACAACAACAACAACAACAACAACAACAACAACAACAACAACAACAACAACAACAACAACAGCACCAGCAGCAGCAGTAGTACTATTGATAATTTATAGTACCTGTATACTAGAAGAACATATGTACAATACTATATCATATTATATATATGGTGGTATACGCATATATATATATATGTATGTATGTAAGTAAGTATGTATGTATGTATGTATGTATGTATGTATGTATGTATGTATGTATGTATGTATGTGTGTGTATGTATGTATACACATACATATGGTAGTATATATCTACATATACATATATAGAGAGTCGTGTATATGTAGATGTTGTTTTGTGTTTTGGTAGTCCAGCCTTCGCGAAGCCCAGGCTACGTTCAGATTAAGTGCGAGGCGGAGCTCGAGGAGTCGGTTGCGCCCTTTGAGCCGCAGTGAGGAGAAGCTTCCTTCCAGATTCCGTATCATTCCGCTTTTCTGCTAGTGCTTGGGCTTTAGCGCCTTTACGGTCCAGCCTTTGGGAGTTAAGGGTCATCCGTTTTTTTTTTTTTTTGTTTTTTTCTCCTGTTTGGACTTGCACATTCAGTTTCTGGATCTCGGGTTGATCAGGGAGCTGGTGTGTCTGTTGCCGAGTATGTCTCCCGATTTGCCGAAGGCCTGCTCTCGCTTCCCGATTGTCCCCAGCCTTGGCCTTGGAGGTGGGTTTCTTTCCGAATCTCCATCGGCAGCGGCAACAAGACCGCTTCGTGGCTGATGTCCTGCTTGCCTTCGCTTACCCTGAAACCTGAAAGATTTGTTGCCTCCTAAGAGTCCCTGTGTCCCAACCATTGCAAGGTTTGTTGGTTTGTTGGTCCGGCTTCGTTGGGCTGTGCCGATGGACCAGACGCCTGAGGTTGGTCCCCGGGGCCCTCGCTACCACAACTTCTCCCAGAGCGCTGTGACCGGCCTCGAGGCGGGACGCGGGATCTCCACGTTGAGTTCCGCTGTCGTAGGCACCTTTCAGCCTGACATGCTCTTGAGTTTGGCTCTCCGGGATCCTACACAGCCCAGCTCATTGCTTTGACTTTCCGTTCATTTTTCGGCACCTTAGGGTGACAGAGGGGGGCATAGCAACAGACACTTGATCAGCTCCTTCATCGCTTGGGCACTGAATCCATCCGAATCCTGAGCTCGCCCAACGTAAAGCCCGCAAGTACCCCGCAGATCGCCACACGGACAGGAGGGGCCCACGAAGGATGAGCACATTTGGGACTTCACGGCACCTCGGTGAGGGATGGGGAGGGCGACCTCGAAGGGATTGTGGTGGTTACCGGTTACCACCTTGCCCAAGCCAGGAAGTCCTGGACGAGGCCTCCCAGACATTCGCTGCTCACTGGCATTACGTTGACCAGCAATACAGGATTGTTACAATGCACGAATGAAAGGAACACAATACAGTACTATGATATGATGATAATACAACCATACAAGAGTATATTGCCAGTACCATGACAATTCAACAGTATATTTCTGTAGTAAAGCAAGAATCGAATGATATCGTAACTCAACAAGATATTTCTTCTGGAAAGTGGTCACTGCCGAGCTATTGCTGGTTAACCGTGGCAGCCTCGCATTGCATTTTGACCGACGGGCTGCCGTCACCCTGCTCCCTTCAACCGAAAGAATTTCTGAGCTTCAGGAGCTGAATCCCAAGTTCTTCGGAGCCGAATGGGGCCGTCTTCAAGTCATGTCGAAGCACCGACACTGAGGTGGTCTGCCTTGAAATCGTTCCCGGTGGCAGAGGGCCTGGAAAGTGAGTCGACAGCATTACCCTGGAAGATGCCCTACGTGATCTACATGAGAGTGTGTTCTGGTCCTTCAAAAAACCCATTTTGAACCGTTGGACAAGGGCTTCTTTCAAGCTCCTCTGGAGGGGACGCAGCGTCACCTGCAAAAAGCGCAGGTGCCCTCAGAGAGCTCGAGCTTGCAGCTCGGGGTACACCTGCCCCGAAGCAAGATCTTCACTTCAGTGCCCTCAAGTTTCGAGAAGCCCCGAACGCCTGATGTTGAGATGCTTGGCAGCCTGTAAACCCACAGAATGAGCAGGGCTTCAAGTTTGTAAGACCTCGCTTCGTGGCTCCACCCTTCTCACGCGCAGTCTTCACAAAGGCCGTTTTCCAGCGCGGCTTACATGACAAAGTTGTGTCGAAAGATCTGAGGTTCGCTCAACTGCGTAGGTTCAGGACCTTCTGGCCAGCCGGAGTGCAACCAGCAGAATCGAGATTTCCAGCACACGACAAGACTGTATTGGGTTGCTCTCTGCGGTGGCAAGACTCTTGCTAAGGTTGGACTCTTCTCAGCCAAGGGAACGGGCTGAGGTACATGTAGCAGCTGTAGCAGGGGCCCACTTCACTCGGAGTATCGAAAGCCATGGCAATCATCTTGGTATTTCGAGAGCAAAATCACCCTAAACCCTAAACCCTAGACCCTAGACCCTAAACCCAAAACCCAAAACCCTAAACCTAAAAAGGGCTCCTTATAAGCTCCTTAAGCGGCCCCTCTTGCAGAGTGAGTTTCCTTGCTCAGCCTTTTGACGTCCGAGCAAGGAAGGAAGTGGACTCCAGCACTCCGGGGAAGAGTTGCGAGCAGACCTTCTCACAAGGTGTAGCCCTTTAAGTTAGCAAGATCAGTATGATGATGATGATGATGATGATGATGATGATGATGATGATGATGATGATGATGATTATGATTATTATTAAGTTATTATAATCATGATGACGATTATTATTACCATGATTACTGTTATTCTTCTTCTTATTATTACTATGATTATTCTTCTTATTGTTATGATGGATATTCATTATGGAAAGGCTTTAGTGTGCTTCGAGCCGCCTTTAGGATTCTGCTCTTATCCTCTCCATCGAGTGGTTGCGAAAGGCAATGGATGAAGAGTTCCTGCAGATGCCTTCGGGCTAAGCGGCTCAGGGAACGACGTACCCGTACCAGACCAGCCCCATCGCTTGAATGCGACAAAGAGTTCTTGGTTTGCAGTGGCTCCGCACTCTTCATGCTGAGAGAAGCCTGCTGCTGTTTCCTGTGCCTTCTGCTCCACAAGATATTTTCTCCCAGTGCCTCCAGTAGCAAACCCTAGACCCAAAGCCCTAAACTTCAAAGTGAGCAAAGTCGACGTTTAATTCGGGCCTGAGCCGTTTACCCCAAAACAGCTCAAGTCTGTCGCTCTTTGTGCAGGACCAGCTAATGAATGCGATGCTCCTGCGCAGAAACTTGTGTGCCATCACCGATGATCCCAGGCAACTCCCAGTGACCTGGGTCTGACATGCAAGCGCAGTTGTTGAGTTTGTCTGCAAAGTGCTGTATCGGAATTAGAGAGTGGTAGGGGTCTCGGGGCCATGGGCCCAGGCGGAGTTCTCGCAACCTCCATGCCTGACTCCCTGTGAGGTGGGAGGAGCTCCCAATTGGTTTAGTCGAGATGATCCTGCGACAGGACTTCAGCCAGAATTGAGAATGGTACCAGTGGCACTTGTCTTCCAAACGTGGCACTTTTAGGGAGTGTGCTGATTGATTCTGCCTTCGGTGTTGGCAGCTCTTTTGGGATTTCTGCTTGCCTCCTGGCAGTTGGGTTTGCGCGCAGGCTGGCTGGCCTGTATAGTTTGCAGCCCGCGGGGCTCAGGGTTTTTTCCCAAACGAGGTTTTTCCCTGAGCTTGCTTGATTGAGTCTCGTGGCACAAGCCCATGAGATTACAGATTACTTGGGTTCTGCAAGAGCTGCTGCAGTGCAACTGAGCCTGGCAGGAACACTTAGGGAAGACAGGATCCCACCGCGCCTAACCTCCTGCTGCCAGGTTTTTGTGAAGACACCAGAATCCCTCTGCACCGAACTCCACGAGCATGCAACCTCTCACGCCCTGACCACTGGCGCCCCGAAGTGAATCCAACCCCCTAAGCCCTGAGCCCTAACCCCTACCCAAGCCCTAACCCGACAGCCCGAAGCCCCGAACCAAGTGAGGACGATCTACCCATCGCATCCGAGGCAGAGGTGCAGTCTTTGGGTCTTTGAGGGGTTCCTTATAGTTCTTCGGGGTTCCTTCGGTTCCTAGCGCGGTGGTCGTGTTTTCGCAGGGTTCTTCGAGGGTTCCTGGGGTTTCCAGGTGTTTTTCTCGGCTTCATCGGGTTTTTCTTGGGTGGTTGGAGGGTCGTGTTTTGCCTACCTTGTTACCTTGACTCTACGTGTTGCAATCACCAAACTTGAGCTGTGGATTCTTCACCTGCCCGAAGACCTCAATGCAGCACCCACAGCAGGTTTTAACGTTGATCGCCAAGTGGATTGGCAGCCGACAGCGGAAGGAGGAGGACCCAAACCACACACTAAACACCCAAATCCCCTGGCCATTTCCTGTGCTTGGGTTTGCTTTTGCTGAATTGTGGTCTCTTTCGGGTGCCTGTTGCAAAGGCGTCCATAGGGGGACTCAAATTTGGAACAACCTCCTTCTTAACCCCCCGACCCCACGCACATGTGACTTTGTGGGCTGGCATGGGCATGTCCTGACTACGTGAATTCAGGGCCTTCATCGTTTCTTTAAGGATGAATTCAAGAAGCGCCAGTGGTGCATCTGTTGGAAGTAGGGTTCCTGCGGCGGGATGGCCGTGAAGCACCCTAAATCCCAGTTCCAGAAGTACAAGTGCTTGCATGAAGGAAACCCAGCAGCATCGGCCCAAGGTTTCGGTTCAAGCGATTCAAGCGTGCTACTTTTGACGCTCGGGTTCCACATGTCTTTCGAATATCTATGGCGCGAGGAAGTCACACGCCTGCTGCGCTCGTTTCGCAAGGGCGACAGTGTGCGGGTCTGCCACTGAGAAAGGAGCAGCAACATGCCAGAAGCCATGCGGAACAGAAGCCACCTTATTGTGGACAAAAGGAGACTATGCTGCGTCAGCATCAGACTCACTCCGTCCTGAACATCCCAGACCCTTGAGCGCTTAGGTCCGCATTTCGGACATGGCGGCCTTAATGGGCGCACTAGGCACCTGGACCGGGTTTCGGGGGGGCATGACTGGCTGATGACTCGTTCTTGTCGTCAGCTAGGTCCGACAGGTTTCTGGGGGGCTCGCCCGTGACAACTTAAGCTGGTTGGGGGCTGCACTCCCATGTTCACTGAAGCACGAAGCAGTAACTGCAGCCGCACTTCGAGCAGCTAGATGATGCCCCTTGGTTTGCATGAAACGGCCCCTCACTTCGTGGACGCAGTCGAGTGGAGTGACGCCTCTTGCAAGGCTGGGACATTTTCTCAGACAAGGCCTTGCGGGTTGCTTTGGGTTGCTTCGCTTTGCTGGTGGCTTCAGTTCTCTGAGTTCTTCTGTATGCTGGCCCCTGCCGTTGACATGGGAAGGGGTGATGGGTGTCCAGCAGTGCAGGTTCCTCGTACAGGCGCCTCGGTGTGGGACCCCAACTTTACCATTCACCGGCACGAGGCAAAGGGGGATCGGCCGTGGCCAAGCTGGCCAGGGCGACAGCGATTTCATGAGTTGTTTCAGAGGCTTTGTTGTGGGTCTCATTAGGTTTGTCGGGCTGGTCAAGGCGGATGTCTCTGGATCATCTTGGGCCGTGAGTGGCCGCAGCCCTTTCCCATGAGCTACCATAAACCCTAAACATACCTAAGGCCTAAGCCCTTAATCAAAACCCGAAGCTGGAGGCCTTTTTTCTTACAGCCAATCAGAAGTGCTTCATCTGGGCATTGGGGCGTGAGGGTGAGCAGCATGCATCGGAACCATTGTGAGTCGCGAGTCATGCGAATTTGTTTTCGGATGCTGTTTTTCGGATGCCATGCCTGTCCTGGAGTGATGAAGGATGAATACATCGCCGTGAGTTCAGCTGACAGACAGAAGGTTGAGGGGGAAAGGGGCGGGTGTGTGTCAGTGCCAAACCATCGCAACAACCTAAACCCTGCACCCAGAAGAACCCAAAGCCCTAAATCCCCACAGACCCCAAGATGCGCAAGCCCTGGCTCACCCTCCCTCGCAGGGTGCCGGCACGCAGGGGTCCGGACCCGCCGAGTTGGGCGCCCGAGACAGAGAATTTGGCTCGAGAGTTCTCGGCTTTCTGCTTTTGTGCATCAGTAGCACGATGCCCTAGGCCCGAAGCCCTAGACCCTCAGCCCTGGTTGAGAAATATCACTCGGCCACTGGGAGCCACCGGAGGATCCCTAGGCTGCATTGTGCTCCATCACCTGCAGTAGTGGCTTGTCGGGGTTTCGGGGTTTAGGTTTTAGGGACTGCAGGTTCTGTGCTGAGGGCGCTGCTTGTGTCTTGGGCTCGGTACGGTGCGCCTCTCCGAGGTCCGCAGAGCGCAGAGAAGGAAATACCGTCGAAATCATCCACCAGATGGGTCGCGACCTTGGTGACCTCGACTTCTGCATCACCTACATCCCGACCCTCGGAAGTTTCGGCTTTCTGTGCGGCATCTCCATAGACCTCCATGGTCGTTTTCAAGCACTTGCGAGCTGGGCGTGGAGTTTCAACCTTGGGAGTTTGGGTTGTCATGAGTCCCTCGAGCCGCATCACGGGTTAGCAAAGACCAAAACCTGTGCCCTGACCCCTGAAAAACGCATGTACCCAGATTTCACCTTTTGTTTTGGGACCAAGGCCCGAAGGACTTCCTACAACAGGAGCCTGGCTGGGCCTATCCAGGCGGAGAGAGTAGGAAGAGAGAAGCGGAGAGAGCGCGAGCGCGAGCGCGAGCGCGAGCGCAAGCGGAGCCCCCCGTCTTTTGCTCTTTTTCAGTGCAGCTGCTGGCAGAAAAATTCCGCTCAGCAGGGGGCTAAGCCTCATAAGCTGTTTCAGCCTCGAACCCCCGACCCGAAGCCACAAGACCGGCAAGCTCCCTACCAGTTTCGTGCTTGCCGGTGCAGCAGGATGTGCTCTCGCAGACAATCTCTCAGCCTCTGACCGCCGACGTATGTTGGTGGATAAGGTTCAGGTCGGGATTGTTGGCGTAAGAGCCAATGGTCAGGTGCGCATCGGGGCAGGGTGAAACTGACCTCGAACTGCTGGCGTCGCGCCCAGATGAGCTACGTATCGATTGCATGTGGAAAGTGGCAACAAAGATTCCGAGTCCAAGAGTGAACAAGGCGCATGAGGCAGCGAGGATTGTAAGAAATCTTAGGTTGAGTCTTAAGTCTATCTTGTGCTCCTACATAGTTACACTCGCCTGAAGTCAGGAAAAGCCAGGCCGGTTACAACTCTTTGGCCTTTCGATCCCGGTGCTCAACCTCTTGCCTGTTTCGGTCCACACGGCTCTGTTTCGTTTGTATCATGATAATGTAAGTATAATATCAATATGATATAGTGTAAGTCCACTCTAATACGAGTATGATAAGCTATAAGTATAATTTATTCATCATACACTTTGACAAGTGTGGACTTTGTGGAAAAGGCGATGCCTCCGCCTCGAAGGTCTCATCGTGAGCGCCGGCTGCTACGTGGAGGGCCGGGCCAGGCCCGATGAATCTCTGCGGGGCCCACAAAACCCACTTCGGGTTTCGGGTTCAAACCCTAAACCCTAAACCCTAAACGCTGAACCCTAAACCCTACACCCTAAACCTTCGTGGCTTAGTTTGAGCTTGCAATATGGCACGAGGCCGTGGCGTTACAGAAGCGGGCCTTTGAGCGAGGGCCTTAGAGTCCCTGCAGACGGGAGTTTCGGATTTGGTTGGAAGAACGGCGGCTTTGAGTCGTATGAAAAGAGGCTCAGATTCCCAAATATTCTCTGAGCTCTGGCCCCATTTTGGCCAGGTGCAGCCCAGCGAAGCCCACGGAGCGCAGCCCGTCGCCGCCGCCCTCTTTTCAGGTGCATTGACACAGAGAGAAAGAGAGAGAGAGAGAGAAAGAAAGAGAAAGAGAGTCCTGCCTCCAAGACAGAAAGAGAGAGAGAGAGAGAGAGAGAGAGGGAGAGGGAGAGAAGGAGAAGGAGAGGGAGGAAAGCGGGGCGGGGAAAAAGGTAGAGTGAGTGAGTTTTTGGTAGTGTGTTTGAGGCAAAGCGGTTTTAGCATTGTTGTGTAGCACAGCATGTGCGCAGGGACATGTTTAGCGTCGACCGCCGCAGCTGTCGCCGCATCACGCCGCTCCGCCCGTATTTTCTCTAACCTCCATAGTCGACGCCGACGCCATGTTTTCCGTCGTCTACAACGAGGCCGACGTGCTCGACTACCTGGAGGTCGCCCTCTCCAACCCCCAATCGGCGATTGCATTCGTCGGCAATCTGTCGATGGATGCGCACACGCAATTCTGCGCCGCTCACGCGACGCTGATGGTGCGCATCCGCACCCGGCTTGGCCTCCCCCCCATCGTTTTCGACGATGAACGCCCGTATTTTCTCTCCCACCCTCTTCCACCCTCAAACGGGTACCGACCGCCTGCCGGGCCGGCACGGGTGCAGAATGTGCCCCCGTGCGCCGGCACCGGTTTTTCGGCGGATCGGCGTACCCGGCACGTGAAGCGCTTGTTCGCAACCGCCGGCGCATGTCAGAGGGTTCTTTGTCGACTGAGAAAAGGGTTGAGAGGTTGGTTAATATTTCCGGCATAGGAGATGTTCTCTTGGCATTACTAGGTAGTGGCAGAGATTGGGATTTCAAGGGCTCTGTGTCTCTTGTGGGATCAAGTGCAGCTTGGGCTGAAGGTGCGGCGGCCACCGGTGGACACCTTTGAGACCTTCGATATCGCACCAATGTCAGGGCCTTGTCAGGCAAAACATTCCCTAAGCCCTCAATTTCCTTTGATATCCCGAAGTGCTGCCAGAGGCTCACTCTTCACTTAAAGGTTCAGCGGGTTAAAAGTAGGCTTGTGCATAAATAAATTGAGCGTAGACAGAAGCATATCTCCACATATGGATGAATACTCAAAAAACAACTAGTGAGCCCTGAGGCCGTAGCTTCATTCCCACCTCCTTTCGTACTCGAGGTCCGACGGTTCCGAACAGTCCTTTCTGGGCGGTGCGGTCATCCGAAACTTGACGCAGGACCTTGGCTCGCACAACCCTGCAAGGTTGCCTACGTACCCCCGGGGAGTTTACGCTGAACCCTGTGATGTGTGATGTGTTCGGGTGCAGGGGCAGGCCCCAAGCCCATCGGAAATCTCTTTCAAGCCAACATCTGCCTTGAATGCTTCTCACCTTCGGCCGAAAGAGAGAAAGAGAGGCTGGCTGACATGGATGATCAGTCTCGATTGTTCTCCAGAGGTAAGCATGTGCACGCAGCTGTAAGGTACAAGGGGGGGCTCCAAAGCTTCGATGAGTCTTCTTTCTCACAGATCCTGATTTCTCGTTGCAAAAATCATGGAATCATGTCGCCATCTCCATCACCAGCAAGTGCCATTTCAAGAGTCCTAACTCCATGAGATTAAGCCTTCTGTTCCGCTGATGCCAGTCATGACATCCTGTTGTCCACTCTTCGGTGCATCTTGGCTCGAGCAGATAGGCAGAGACCAGCAACAGCCAACTTCAGGAGGGTGGAGCAGTATGTCCCACAAGACAGATGCTTGGCTGAGTGTGACACCAAGACTGGCCGTAGTCTTATTGAGCAGCTTCGTTCGGCTCGTCCATGACGATGAGGTATGAATATGCGTATGAATATGCATGAATTTCACGGGGCTAGACAAGGGTTCATTTTTGGGGGGGAAGGGGGTTGGGTGGGGGGGGGGGCGGGGGGGGGTGGGGGGGGGGGGGGGGTGGGGGGGGGGGGGGGGGGGGGAGGGGGGCGGGGGAGGGGGGGGGGGGCAATAGAGGAGGACAATAAAGAATGAAGAGGAACAGAGACAACAGAAACAACAGATAAATACAACCACAACCACAAGCACAAGCACAAGCACAACTACAACAATAACATCACCAACAACGACAACAGCAGCAACAACAACAACAGCAACAGCAACAGCAACAGCAACAGCAACAGCAACAGCAACAGCAACAGCAACAGCAACAGCAACAGCAACAGCAACAGCAACAGCAACAGCAACAGCAACAGCAACAGCAACAGCAACAGCAACAGCAACAGCAACAGCAGCAACAGCAACAGCAACAGCAACAGCAACAGCAACAGCAACAGCAACAGCAACAGCAACAGCAACAGCAACAGCAACAGCAACAGCAACAGCAACAGCAACAGCAACAGCAACAGCAACAGCAACAGTAATAGCAACAGCAACAGCAACAGCAACAGCAACAACAACATCAACAAGAACATCAACAAGAACAACAACAACAACCACAACAACAACCACAACAACCACAACAACCACAACAACCACAACAACCACAACCACAACCACAACCACAACCACAACCACAACCACAACCACAACCACAACCACAACCACAACCACAACAACAACAACAACAACAAGGATCATAAGCAGCAACAAACAGCAACAACGACAGCAACAACAGCAGCAACAACAGCAACAACAACAACAACAACAACAACAACAACAACAACAACAACAACAACCACACTACCACCAACAACAACTACTACACAACAACACCAAACACATGTACAGAGGATAAACAAAAACACGTAACATACATCAGTTTGTACATATCTGTTGTACATCTTGGTTCGTAGATGTTTACTGTCAGAGCAAGGACAGGAGAAGTCATAAAGCAGGAAAGAAACCACGTTAACAGACCATAGCAATTTGAAACACCAGCTTCGCAGCAGGGCACGCCCCACTGGTGGCGGACCCGGTCTCGCGGCTTCTTTGAAAGTGAAGCTCCGGCCTTTCCTCTCGGGGCTCCCCAGCTGTTCCCGCTTGTAGCTCCTTCATGCCAGCAGTGGTAGCCAGTGGTTCCAAGACCCCACCATGGCACCCTTGAGGATGTCGTGAGGGGATGCCCCGAAGATCATGGACGCACCTGCCTCGATGATACAATCTCTGTGAGCCCGAGGCGAAAGGGTGGCGGATTCCTGCCGGGGCACAAAACGCCGCGCACATCATGAGCATCAGTGGCTCCGGCGTTTCAGGGGAGTATCCACAAGCATGCGGAAGCCACGGTATTGACATCTTTTTCTGCGTTTCCCCCTTCCGAAAAGACACCATCGGAGAGGGGAGGGTCCCTCCCCAGAACCATCCAACATGCCGCCTCAGGGCCGGCGGATGGTTTGTCCATGCTTGACTATGCTTTGACAGTGTATTGATTCTGTTTGACATATGTTGATTAGAGTGATGAGTGAACATGTCGGTGTTCGTTGTCTTCCAATACTGAGGAGAGCAGCATGAAGATGGTGGTTGCAGGTGCGGCAGCTGCCGTTGCAGCAAGCTCTGTGTCTCAGGCAGGGTTCTGGAAAAACTGGACAGTGGAGGCATGTGGAGGCAGATCTTGAAGGTTCCCTCCCAAAACGAAGAGTCACAAAGCATCTCTCTGCACATTTGAGCACTGCAATGGTGTGATGATGGCCTGACTGCAGGCTTTCGTGGCGTCGCCTGCTCCCCGAGCATCCCCAATCCAATCAGAGGCGCTTTTGCAGTCGAGGCTGGACTTCAAGCTAGACGCATTGCGCTGGCATCATCGCTCCTATTCGTTGATGGCGTAGCATTCTGGTCGATTCTTGATGGATTTTGCATCTGCCAAACACTGAGCACATAAACTCAACACCAGACGCTGTGAAACTGACACCGTTTGCTTTGTGTTGTCCCTCATTTCTGAACTACTTGGGCTTCCCAGTCACCTGGAATCGGAATTCGAGACATGGCTTCTAAAGGGCCAGTTCGATCCAGATACATCTTGTAAAGCAAGCAGAATGAAGAAGTCCCATTTGTGGGGGTATCCTTTTTTTCTCCTCATGTGGCAGGAGTGCTCCTTCCTCCCGTCAGGGTGCAAGCTTTGGTGCAGCAACCCTCGCTGTTGGTGCTGTCGCTGCCGTCGGTGGCCGTGGGTTGTTGTTGCAGCGCCGAGCCACAGCCGTGAAGAAGAAGGGCGTGCGAGTGGTTGAGGGCAAGGAGAAACATCGGGAAACGCTGAGCTAACGTCGAAGACTTGTTCAACTGTTCAACTTGTTATGTAGCTTGACGGGGTTGAGATATGCTGAATGTTTTTCGGTTGCAGGCCCGTTTTTGGTTTGAGCTTGACGATGCTGACTGGGTCAGTGACAGTGACAGGTGAACCATGTGAGCCTTTAGAAGTGCTTGCTGTTTGCTTACCACACCAGCCTGCTACGCAGCAGAGCATCCCTCGAAGTGCAGGAGATCCCCTGGAATCTCTTCAGCCCGAAGGCTCCGTATCAGGGCAGCTGCGTCAGCAAGGAGACCATCACCAGCAAGACGCCACTGGTGAACTGGGAGACTTGCCACGTCATCATGGACCACGGCGGCAAGGTGCCATACATTGAGGGACAATCCATTGGAATCATCGCCCCGGGTCCTGACAAGAAGGGTGAGACTCCTGCAAAGATCCGTTTGTACTCCATTGCATCCTCAGCACCAGGGGATGACGAGACCAGCAAGACTGTGTCTTTGGTGGTGAAGCGGGTTGTTGAGGTCGCTGGCAAGGGCTGGTGCGAATACTCCAATGTCCCCAAGGGTAAGGACCCTGAATTCCCTGATGCCGAGAAGGTGTACCGTGGTGTTTGCTCGAGCCACATTTGTGACATGAATGCTGGAGATGATGTGATGATCACCGGCCCAACAGGAGCAGAGATGCTTCTGCCAGAGGACCCCGAGGCCAACATGATTTTTATGGCCACGGGTACCGGCATTGCTCCATTCCGCTCTCACTTGCGATATCTCTTCCACGACAGGGTTTCCAAGGGCAAGTTCAAGGGCGTTGCATGGCTGTTCCTTGGCGTGCCTTACTCCGAGTCGTTGCTCTACGATGAGGAGTGGAAGGAGATGCAGGCCGAGTTTCCGGATCAGTTCCGCTATGACTACGCCATCTCTGGCGAGGAGAAGAGCGACAAGAACAAGATCAATGGCAACTTGGACATTGGATTCCAGATGACTTGAAAACTGACAGAGAGAGAAGTGTACTGAACACGGTATCATACTCGACGGTATCGTCAGCAGATGAATCGTAGTAGACCGATGCTTGCACCCCATCCTTTCAAGTGGGCCTTGCTTATGTTGTTCCAGATTTCAAGATTCTGGGGTCTGTGATGCTTTCAGATGCTATTTCAACGTATGTGTTCGCTGGGCAACCCGAGGGGAGATGTGGGTGCAGCACAAGATGATGGAGTACGCCGACGATCTCTGGGACTTGGTCAAGGAGTCTCCGCTGTACCATTGCCCAGCAAGGCCCTAGAGTATACTTCAATCATCTGAGGCACTCCCCGTTGTGTCGGGCATCTCTCGCACGGTGTTGCCGTATGTTGCATCATGTTACAGCCTGGTCACCAGGATCCCAAGACCCACGTGTACATGTGCGGCCTGAAGGGCATGGAAAGCGGCTTTGCAGAGTGCTTCCAGGAGTGCATCTGAAGCTGCATGCAATTGTGCAAGGATGGGGTAGTTTCTCCCGCGTGATGCCCATAGCGATCGGGGGAAAACAGCACTGCAGGAGCGTGTCGAGGCTGAGGGCATGGTTTATACAGAGTTCTTGAAGGGGATGAAGAAGGCCAAGCGCCACGTGGCAAGATTCGGTGAGTATCATGGATTTTGTCAGCATTTGTGCTTATACAAACACACACACACACACACGCACACATTCTGACTGAATTCATTTTTTCCATGTGACATTTCTTGCTTTGAAGCTGGTCTCATGAGTCGGCCGACCTGAGGCTACCATGTCGAGGTCTACTGAGTGATGCTCCCTTCTACCAGCGCTTACCTGAGGTAGCTGGTAGGCATTGTGCAAAGCTCTGATCCAGCTGTCGTTCACCAGCTTGCGGCAGTTTGTTTTCGCGGGCGTTGGGCGTTGCTGCTTGTTACTTTTTCATGTCAGGGCTTGCATTTATTACAGCGTTGTTGTTTCAGCAACAATGCCCGGCGTGTAGGTACTTGTTATATCTTGTTCTCATATATGGAGATGGTTGATGTTTTTTCGGCCAAGACAGCAGTGGCCGCAGCCCAGCCAAGCTTCTAGTTGGCAGTCCGCCCCTCTTGCCCGTCCAGGGCGGGGGGTTGAACCTGTTCGAACCGCGTCAGCACTTGAGGATTGGCTTCAGTTGTACTTGGCACTTTTGGTTCGTTGTGCAAGTCGGAATTTACATCTGCGAGCTATCCTGAGGTGCTGCAAGATTCATGCTTCGCAGCAGTATGCAAACGCACACGTTTTCCGGCATATGCCTTTCAAGTCCTCTCAGCTTTGTGAGAGGGCCAAAAGGTGAAACCCGCGAGGTTTTTGCCAGACATGGAAGGAAAACCAGACGTTGCCCACATGCCTGATGTGAATGGTCTAAGTGTAGTTTCAGGCATCAGTCCCAAGCTGTGATATAGTGTATACATCCAAGGACTAGCGGGTGAAACGCATCATAGCATTAAGCCCTTAAACTGGAGAATCTCAAAGGCAAAAAGTTGCTTTGATTCTTGCTGCGTGTCCTTGAATCTGGATCCCATCAAAAAGCATGGTGGACATGGATTATTCATTATGCGGCATAGTCAATGACATGTTGAAATTTGTCCTGGTCATTATGAACTTATGCTGACCGGACGTGGGGGTTGTCCCCTGAAAATACGGGTTCCTGAAGAGCAGATTCTCTCTCTCTGTCTCTCCTTAGTTTATGACGCTCCTCTGTCGTACCCGTACATAGGAGGAAGCCCAAGACCTCAGCAAGTCCGCAACTCATCGCGGCCATGGGCACGTCGCAGGGCACGTCGCAGGGGACGCCGCAGGGTACGTCGCAGGGCGGCGCCCAGGAAGACATGGCTGCTGGCCATGCCGGTGTACACCACTGCTCCTTTCCAATGTATGTGGTCAAGGTGCTAGACTTTCTCCAGATGGAGGGTGTGCCTGAGCCACACCATGTCTTGAAGCAAAAAGGTTTGCTTCACGAATGGCAGCCCGGAATGTTTGCGCTCTTTATTTCCCACCAATGGTTGGGTGCTGGATCTCCAGACCCCTCTGGGCAGCAGATGATGGTACTACGTCATGCGCTGCAGGCCTTCATCGACGGATCGATGAAGGTGGAGGCGGATCTCATGAGGACATTCAGCGATGCACGCAAGACAACCAGCTACGAGCGCGTGGCGGATGGGTATCTTTTCTTGGATTGGTTCGCTATCCCGCAGGTTACCGAGAGAGTTGATGGGGTCAATGAGGACACCACAGTTTCTGATACTGCTCGAGCTGTTCAGAGCATTCCAGCCTATGTGGAATGCTGCGACATGTTCGTGGCGCTCGTCCCTGACCTCCCTCATGGGGACACGAAACTTCAATGCAACTACAGCACGTGGCTTGGTCGCGGGTGGTGCCGAGCTTGGTTGTTGCATCGCGAGCTGAAGCACACGCGTCAGATGGGTAGTCTAACTCTCTAAGCGCGCTTCATGTCGAGAGTGGCCAAACCAGGAAAATGCTTGTCCGAAGACGTATAACTCACATTTTCGAGTCCGTTTGCCGCACCGGAACGATGTGTAGCAGAGCCTCTGCATCAGTGCCCCAACCCGAAGCAGCCAACACACGCACAGGCAGTCGGTCCACAAAACAACAAAGTGAGCACGGCTGCTCGTCTCAAAGAAGCCCTGCGAATCATATCTCAAGCCCTGCAAGACTCATTTTGCCCAGTGGCACGTTTGCGAAAACTCAAGTGCCGGGTGTGTATGTCTCAACGAACGGATGCGCAAATGCAACAAAGCCTGGCAAAGCCAATCTTAAAGTCTTAGCCGTTTTGAACAGCGAAGAAAGATGGAAGACATCTTGGGCAGGAATCTTTTGGTACTGGTTCGGTATTGCAGGGGCTGTGGCAGCTTCCAAAGCTCCGTCTGGCAAATGTATTGTGCGGCAGGCAAAAGCATGCGAACTGCGGTTTTCCGGAGCCTAACTATCACCTCAAAGCTCAGCCAAGAACATAGTCGCCAAGCGAGTGCGTGCAGAGAACTCAGGTGCCGAGCAGAGCTTTGGTGTCGCTTGTTGTCGAACCGACCGGACACCAGCATTGTTGTAATTTTTTCTGCCAGAGAGGCGCTCTTCATTCTGCCCATGGATTGGCAAAGGAACTTGATCTCAGATGGCCTCTTCACTGTGGAAAGCGATCGTGCAGTGGTGGTGAAGCTTGGGGAGATGGCATTAAGCAGCAAGATCGAGCATTTGTGCCAGCTTGGTCCCTTGGTGGACTACCGCTTCCACCTGGCACAGCAGCCCAGATTGCTTAACCAAAGGAAACATCGATGGGATCTTGACGGCTTCCTTCGGCACTTTTGCTTCTCGAGTCTCGATGCAGCTGTGATGCATGAACATGGCATGACGGGCATGTCCTGTGCAATCTTTGCGGGTGACGTGGACATTCTGCAGACCCTGGTAGCGCATGGTGGAGATGTGAACGCTCGTTTGAGTGGCCTGGGTCACCTGGGCTACGAAGATTCCCTGACTCTCCTGATGGTGGCAGCCTTATCTGGACAAGATGCGAAGATGCTATCTACCCTGATAATGTTGCATGCAGACCCGAACCTGGCGTGCATTTCCGAATCCGGCTCCATCATCACTGCTTCATGGATGGCATCACGTCCTGAGCATGTACAGCTACTGCTGGAGAAGAGGGCAGACTGGGCGTCGTCACCGCCGTTGACCAGTGCTGTAGGAGTTGCCTCCATGAGCACGGTGAAGGCCTTTTTAGAGGCTCGCTGTGACCCTGGCGATGTCCCTCCAAATGGTTTCGGACCAATGTACAGCTTGCCATTCTTTGGACGAGGAAATCCAGAAGCACCCAGCATAATGCAGCTGCTCTTGTCCTCGCGTGGTGATGCCAATGCCCAAGCCAAACCGCATGGCCTCCTCTACTGGCACTGCATGCGTGCTCGCGTTTCTGCAGCCCTATGGGGCCTTGAGGGATGTGGTGCTTACCAACGTCAAATGGCTTCCTTCCCCGGGGCCACACCATTGTCTCTCGCTGCAGTCATGGGAGATCAAAGGCTGGTGAAGCTACTCTTGGAAAATGACGCTGAACATATTGCCAATGACCGTGGAGATACACCGGAAGACTTGGCTAGGGCAGCAGGTCATACAGAGCTGCTACCCATTCTGTCCACCTTTTATGTATAGGTTCAGCCGGGCGTTCGCACGGCCCTTGCCTGCTGGCCGCGCAACATGCGCTTGACCAGCCCACTGCCCAGCTCACCCCAACCTCTGCTCCTGAAATCGCCATCCTCTCCCGCAAAACATGGTCAAAAGCCCCCTCGGCCCCTCGGATCCTGAACTCCAGGACAAGATTGACCACGAGCTCGTGGACCATCAGGTCATTTGCGGTGTGCGCTTACCCTAGCAGCCCTAGCATCCAGGCGTGTCCAAGACTTGAGAATGCGTCCAAGGGGAGCCTTGTAGCTGGGCAGCATGGACTCACACGTTTCATCGCAAACCTCTCCCTCATCCTTCTGCAGTCCGCCAACGAAGCAAGTTCGAAGGGGTGGAAGGCCGCAGCCCCCAAGCCGTGACTTAGCTTCGCCAAAAGTTCCTCCAAGGTCGAGCGGGTACCAGCGGCACGGCTTCCGCATCTCACAGTGCGACAAGAAAGCCATCTACCTCGTTGAGGCTGGGGGGGTTGGTGAGTTTTTGGGGCACGGAGGTCTGAGGCCACGAAGTGAGACAGAAAGCACAGGGGAGGGGATCTTGGATCGCGCGTCGATGAGATGATTCTGCCAATCAGCTATTTCGATTATGTCGTTCTGGTTGCTCACGGCTCATAGCGTGTCTTTTTGCTTCCGCCTCATTGATACCTTCGAAGTGTTCCCTCTGTGGTTTTGGCAGCCCCGACTCAGATTCTGAACGCAACATCAGTGCGTCAGCTGGGCCAACTGCAAACTTCGGGGCTCTAAACAGCCGTGCGCTGCTGCAGAGCATTACAGAACCTTAAGCCTAAGAACCCCAGGGGTGCCCCTGGATCCCAAAGAGCCCCTCAATTGGCACATTCCTCTCTCTCTCTCCCTCCCTTTGGCTCTCAGCACTGAAGAAGGTGTTAGGTGTTGGGGTCGGCACAGCACAGCCCAACCCCGTCATGTGATGTGTTAGGCGATGTAGCTGTTGTACTGCAGCCACGGCAGTTCCGGTGACAGTCACATCCTTTTGCTGGGTTTTTGCACAGAGCTGAGGTACAGGCAGCTTCTGGGATCTGTAGGATTTCACCACGCGGCCACTTGGCCGTGCTTTGTCGCCTGCCTTGGCCGCATGGGTTGCGGCTCCTCCGCTTTCCGCCCCTTCCACGATGCCTTCGAGCTGCAGGAGGTCATTGGCAAGGCCGGGCCAGTAGGTTCTTGAGCGTTCGCCTCACACACCGCTTGTGGGGTCGCCATCCAAACTCCAGGGTCCTGAAGGACGAACCTGGGACGGTACAAAGGTGGGGCTCACAGTCGCATCTTCTTAATGTCGCTGGGTGACTGCGAATCAATGGGGAATCTCAGACTGTCAAGCCCGCAAGGGTTCTGAGTTTCCTTTCTAGCTTCTGAAGGATGTCTTGTTGTTGAGCCAGTGACTGGGGTTAGCATGCCAAACGTTGATAGCAGTTTGTGTTGGACCACTGATATAGGTTCACCGTCGTTCTGGAGGGGGCGGCCTTTTGTCCTCCCAAGCCCCTAACACCCTAAACCCCAAACCCTAAACCCTAAACTTTGGCCCACGTGGGTCAGGGTAGATTTGGTGATGTCTACTCCGCGGTGGAGCGAGCATCGCGAGTCGCTGGGATGCACGGGCTTTTCCATTTGCCTGATGGTTTGAGAGGCTCGCATTGCGCAAGAACCTCTGAAAGTTTGCGAAAGTCTTCTGTGGGGTTTCCGAACTCTTGCGGAAGGGCTCCTCTTGTCTCGGTGTGGGGCCGGAGCAGATTGCTGGATTTCCACGCCACTTCAATAGTGCCTCTACTGTTGCAGGTGTGAAAACGACAATCGTCGGGGAACAGGGGCTTCCCATTTATTGTGCCATAAAGCGCTTGTCCTTCGAAGTCGCTCCCCGACCCTTGCGCCTTTGCACCTTCCAGTCGGAAATCTCGGGCTGTGTTTTTGCATTGGGCCAGGGGATCGAGTGCAGTACTTGCGTTGCAGGATACAGGACGTACAGCGCCTGCATGGGTTGGGCAACCGTCAACCCGAGCCCTGTAAGCTGTGGTTATGCACGTGGTAGCCTGTATGAACGCACTCGCACCAAGGAAGCTCACACAACGCTTGTTTGACCTTTCACTGGTAGCTTTGGCAGCCGGCGGCCCTAGCAATCTGTCCAGAGCTCAGGAACCCTATGCTCTGCGCATCATCACTCGCACAGGGGCCTCGATGAAGGAGCCAAGTTAGGCGAATTTTCGCAAAGGCTCGCTGCCTTTCCTCAAGGTTAGAAGACGCCCATGACTGAAGCCTTGCAGTCATTGCTGTGAAGTGCTGCGGCAGGACCTCTTGCAAGAGGCAAGGCTATGGCGGAGCGTGATGGACAGCAAGCAACCTTTCCGAAACAGTCCTAGCCAGGCCACTGTTGCAAGATGCTGCTACTACTTGATCCAGGAAGCCGGAAGCCTAAGGTACATTGTGCAGTGGTACACCATTCGGGCGGAAGGGAACAGCCTGTTCTTCCTCATGGAAAAGCGGCCAGTTCGCACACAGAATTGCTCCGCCACGGCTCAAGAAGATTCGGAAGCTTGTGTTGTTTGAGCAGTTTCCTGTGTTTCTGTTTCGAATCCTCTTGTACTGAGACTCCGAAGGGGATACTGCGGATCCCCAAAAAGCCTAGAATGACAAACCCTCAGCCCCAGCAGCATCCCAGGTGCCAGTGCAACTTTGTGCGAAAGCTGCCCCATGGCATCTCACGTTGTAGGAGAGCATGCACAGTGCATGTTGGGATGTCGGCTTCTGGGTTTGGTGTGAGTTGGCTGTGTCGGCTGAGAGAGCCCTTGACGATCTAGGGTGGTGGAACATCATCATGGCTTTGTTGAGCCAGGTTGGATGGAATTTTCCCACTCGTGTTCTGGTAAGTTCCTGATGGGTGCACATGCAGCGGGAGCCTGAGGCAATTGTCTACAACATGGAATTTGCAGAAGTCGCGGACGGCGTTCAAGCAGCGCCCTGACTGGATGTGGGCTGAAGTGACGGCACAGCACTCACCAACAAAGAACAAGTATGAGCCGACCTGGCGTTCTTGAGGTCAAAGGACCAGATGCTGAAACAAGACCAACACGACAAGACACTCCAAACTCACAGCAGCATCATAGCCTGTAGCAATGTGCAGGTTGTGCTTGTGCTGGATAGAGAATTACAAACTCTAGCTGCGCACACCAGAAATCTACCATCGTGGCAGACACGAGTGTCCAGTGGAGAGCGCCGCCAAGCCGCTTCTGGCTGATTGAGACGAACATTTGACATGGTCGGCAGAGCTGAAGTCAGGATGCTCCGTGCGGTGGAATGGATACACTCCGCCGGCGTGATCCATCGGAACATCAAGGTCCGGACACTGCAAGTAGGCCTTGTAGGTCCAGCAGGTGCCACAGTAACGCACACATAGCCAGGAACACGGTGTGAATCGCATTTTGATTGTCAGCAAGAAGCATTCCTTCTTTGGTGGCCTGAGCACCCAACAACCTTGTGCACGTGCTCGTGCATCAGGCATCGAACTTCATGTGTGGCGGTGACAAAGGCAACACCATCATGCGGCTTGTCCCGAACTTGCAGCGGTGTTGCGCAAGTTCTAGGGTTGATGCGAAATTCCACCTAAGCCTAGCTGCTAGCCGAGCCCCAGCTAGTCCCCCTGCCCCCGCCATGTCTCCAAGGAAGCTGACAGACTTCAGTCTTGCCTGCCAAGCTGCACAGGCCCGGCAAGCACCCAGAAGAATTCTGTGGCCGACGAGTTCGAAAGTGTGTAGATTCTGATGTTGACCTTGTAGCCTTCCCTGCGCACTGTTAGTGGAGGCAATTCCTTGTTGGTAATCGCACTGCCGCACGGCCAAAAAGCAAACGTGTACTCCGTTTAATTGGTTCACAACAAAAGCTGCAACAAATGCTGAGTGGTTTCAGCGTGGCAGAAGCCCAATTTCATACAATCTGTTCTGCATAATGTTACGCGAAATATTATGCAGGTGAGCTACAATGCTACAACAGAACATACCGCCAAAGTAGAGCCATTGCTAGACGCAGGCCCCACGGCGACATGAATCCTTCTGCAAACCCTTTCTTTCGGGGCTACTTGTTCTGTAGTGTCGTCAAGATGGCGTATGAACAGACTTCTGTGTTCCACGGAAGTAAAGACCATTGCAACAAATTTGCTTATTTGCTTTTGTTTGATTTTGTATGGAGCTACAAAGGTACTGTCAACATGATTGAATAGACTTCTGTATTCGGTAGAGCGCAGTTGGAGCTTCGTAACGTCGCTTTTCTCGCTCGGAGCTCGTGAACAGACAGTGGAAGGTGAAATTCAGAAGACCATGAAGAGAATGAGCAGCTACCAGAATGTTCACGCAGATGAAAGCATTTTGCCTGTGTAGCTGCGTCAGCAACAAATGCCAGACGGCACGGCATAATCAAAAGTAAGCTAGAAGGTCCAAACTTCGATAGTGGTTGTCCTATGCGTGAGCGCGTGACCTAATGTTCTGTTACAGGCTAGTCAAGAACGATACTTCTGTAAGATGTGTAGGTTCACGTTTTCTGTTACAAGGAGCCAGGACATACACCGACCTATGTATATAAATGCATCCATGTCTATCTCAGTTAGTGCAAAGATGTGGTTTCCGAAGTACTACTGGTCCAATGGGTCGGCCACTGTAGGGTTTAGGGTCAAGTTGATCAGACTTCTAGGCTGAAAGTTCTTTGCAATCGGCCAAGTTTTGCACTCCGTCGTGATGGACCACCAATCTGCACGCACTCAAAGCCACGGCGTTCATCGGAGCCCCGGGATCCAGAAGCGCTCAGAGTCGACCCGGGACTAGGCCGTCGAAGAGTCAAACTTAGACCAAAGAACCTCGTCCCCCAAAGCCGCTCCGAAGCCACTTTCAGAATTTTCAAAGAATTTTGCAAGAGATCCCTGACCAGGGCGGGAAGCTGTTCCAGGAGGTGGGTTCCTGGCAGTACAGGTCTGCGGAGATGCACAGCAAGGTGCGCGTGGCTCACCAATCCCGAACAGGGCACATTATGATGAAGCTGACTATACTAATACTGTATAGTGTGTTATACTGTCATGGTACTACTTTATTTAAGTTGTGGAAATATGATGCTGGTACAACATCATCATGCTATTATATTTCGGATCCGGCAAACTTGCACCTAGTTACTCTCTTTCTTCAATGCTTGCTCCAGGCCCTTCGTGTTAAACGCTCCCTTCTCACAAAACCTGACGCACTCTATCGAAGAGCTGTTTCTGTCACAAAGCACATCCCAAACTGCTGCGAGCTCCGGGTTCTGCCCTTTACCACAGTGCAGGCAGGCTACACGGAGAAGACAGATCTCTGGTCCTTCGGTGTCATGGCATACGCCCTGCTCTTCAATGAGTCCTGCCTGTTGAGAGCCAGATTTCGCGAAGATAGGTTCGTTTGAGTTCAAAACACGCCGACGGCCTCAAGCACAGTCCAAGCCATTTCATCAGTGAACACGCTGAAACCATGCGTTCGGAAGTGCAGACGAGGGGCATGCAATCGAGAAGCTTGTTGCCCAAAATTGTGTTTTTGGTGGCAGAGCATCCAGCAGTGCAGCTTGAGCGGGTTGAGAGGCGCTGCACTCCTGTTTCGGGCGCTCTGGTTTAGGGCTTTGGCATGCTCGGAGTTGGTGACATTTGACTCAGGAGTTTCCCTTTGCGCCCGGGGTCAGGGACAAGGACTCTGTGATTTCCTGTTTGGGGTTTCCATTGGCCGTGCAGATTTTCGGGCTCTGCATGTTCCAGAAACGCCCTCCGGGAGTCTCGCAGAGGGCTGAGAGTGGGCCAGCAGCAGGGAAAGAGAAGCCTGTGCCTGGAGGACGCCATTCGAGCTGCGATTGTCGGGCATGCGGAGCCACGCTACTGCCAGGCCGCTCTAGCCCAACACACATTCTTCAGACCCTGCCCAAGACCCAGGCCTCACAACGGCAGTTGCATGAAAGGTTACGGCAGGGACGAGAGATGGTCATCGGGAACGCGTGTTCTGAAGCCTTTAGTCGTGCCAGTGTATGGTTTGCAAGCCTTGCAACCGTCCTCAAGCAGACGGAGGGCTCTTGCAGCGGGTTTGGGGCTTGGGTCAGGACCTTTCTGCCATTCTTAGCTGCACAAGTCCTGCATAATCAACGACTGACGCTAACCAGAGTTGCTTTTAAATTCAAGTGTTGCAGCAAGTAACAGCCGAGGGATAGCGCAGCATTGCAAGGGCAGGTTCTCTCTATTGTTCAGCGTTTCACGATCTGAAGGTAAGACTGTAGAACAGCTTCAAGCATGCCATTTTCAAGAGCCTGTGCAGGTGCCGGGTGGCCAGAAGGCCAGCAGTGGGGGATGATTTGACGGGTTGTTTTGGGTTGGGATCTCAATCAGATTTGTGGACCCTGCGCCACATTGTGGAGTTGATGGCGAACACCCTGAACCCTGAAACCTAAACCCTCAACCCCAAACCACCCAAACCCCTCAAGCCCTAAACCCTCAACACTTTCACTCCCCTCCAAGGCCACGTGAAGTCTTCAACTCTACTATCGTATAGTAACTTTCAGGGGTGACCGGAGGTTTCCCAGAGTCCCTTCGATCCGAGCACAGGTCGGCGAGTTCCTCGGGCCGGCAGCTCGATTTTGCCGCGTGCTCCTGCTCCCTGGCTTTGAACAAGAGTTTCGGCTCGGGTTTAGGGTCTCCTTAGGGTTTGGGGCCTCTTGCATTCGTGGGATGGGTTTAAGCTTACGGGAGAGCCCATGCCCCGAAGCCCGGGAAAAGAAGCCTCGAACTCTGGAGTGAGCCGGTGCCTTCTCAAACTTCTGACCCCAAGTCCTCAAGTGCCAAAAATCTAAACCCTAAAACCCAAAACCCCAAACCCTAAACCCTAAACCCTAAAGCCCTAAAGCCCTAAACCCCAGACCCCAAGACGGAAGAGGCGCCGGAACCAAGACATCCGCTGCAGCGCTTCGGAAGCTCTCCAGCAGCTCTCCAGCAGCTCGCCTGGGCTTTAGAGTTCAGGGTTCAGGGTTTAGGGTTTAGGGTTTAGGGGATTCAGGGGGTTTTTGCGGGGCTTCCGAAGGGCTTTATGGGCTGTTTATAGAGGCCTCTTGTAGGCGTGGAGGGTTCCTGGGTGTGCGGGGTGCCCGCTGCAAGGCTGGGATTCATCACTGGCATGGCCTGCTCTGTGGAGATGGAGTCCGACTGCAGCGTGATCAAGAAGCAGGCGCCGCCCTCCAACCCGACGCGGAACCTGAAACCCCAAACTGAAAAGATGCGGGTTGAGTCGTTTAAAAAGCCTTGCGGGAGTCGTTCTTAAAAGGGCAGCAGTCCCCTCTGGCCACCGCAGGACCAGCCTTCCGTGCGCGAACTTGCGCCACCGGTTGATTGGGACGCTGCCGCTTGTGACACAGTTGAAAGAGTTGGAGAGTTGGAGGAGTCCTTTTGCTTGTTAAAGCCTCAAAGCCATCAAGGGAACCTGGGTTTAGGGTACTCTGTGCGGCGAAGAACCGAGCGTATGATAGCGTGTGCCAGGGAAGCCTCGTCGATTCGCAGTTCTCGGACTTCACGGCAACCTGCCTGCACTTCGGGAAGTCACAACCCAGACTGCTGGGCAGGTTTCTGATGGCTCCTTAAGCCCAAGAAGACATCCCAAGAGCCGGCATGCTGCATCAGGTGTGCATGACGCGGAAGCAGCTAGAGTCGCTGCCGCTCCTCGGTGCTGGCATCGAGGATCTGACCTGAGCCGGAGCCGGGCTTCGGACCGATGGCTTTAGTGACCTAAGTCAGCGATGCACCAGCCTTCGGACTGACGAGCAACAACGCGGGAGAACTATCTCAAACTCGGAATACTCGGAATACTCGGAAGCCCTGCAAGATGATGGGCCAGATTCTATTTCGAACAAATGATAGTGGTATATTGATCTCATTTCGCGAAGGGCTCCTAGACCCCTCTTTTCAGGAAGGGGTTTGAAGCCCCGCCCAAGCCCACACTGGTCTTCGGTCTTTTGCTTCGGCTCCGCAGTGCAGCGTTTTGAGAAGCGGGTAGCAGGCGATTTCAAAACTGATGATGGTCTGCACCACACACGTGACCTGGTCTGGAGAAGCGTTCACAGGGGGTTCACATGCTTCATGCACCTAGGCCTGGGCAAAGATAACGATTCACAGAGCCTTCATGAGCCCTCGTACCCTGTGAAACTGTTGTTGTTCTCTTTGCTTCTCTCCAGCCCTTAGTTGAGTCTCACTGTTTCTCGGGTGGCCAGGGTCCGAATCAGCAGCGGAAGCATGGGATCACAGGACCTTTCTGCGAGAACTCCATAAGGAGTTCTTGGTTTCGGTCGCCCAGAAGCCAACCTCGGCCCGCAGCTCGGAGTTTTAAGGAAAAAGGTGTGGGGGGTGAGCGCCTGACAGCACCTGACACCATCTGATGCCACGTTAATTCGGAGCGTACGTCTGATCGAGCAAAATCAGCCCTGAAGCCCTTTGACCCCGGGGTGCCCCCGGTTGTGGCCAGGACTTGAATGGTAAGCACTCAGCACAGCTCGGAGGCACGGACTAGGAGGGAAGAGGAGTTTGAGGCCTTTCGTTTTCAACCGTTTTCAGCGACTTTCCGAAGTCTTCAGCCCATTTCAACCCTTGCTTCGTGCACATTGAGGCCTGAAACCCCTGAGCCCCCTGCCCCTTCACATGTTTTCCATTAACGGGTCAAGAACTTCCGAAGCCCTTAAACCTTTCAACCCTTTAGGATCCTCAAAACCCTTAAACCCTTCAACCTAAAACCTAAACCCTGAACCCTGTAAACCCTAAACCCTAAACCCTAAACCCTAAACCCTAAACCTAAACCCTTTACCCTAAACCCTAAACCCCAAACCAAAGTGGGGGAGGGTCCCCCGCTGCAAGGCACCCTGACCTCCGTCACCTTCGACCTGGAGCTCGTCATCGGCGAGGCCTCGAAGTGCGGGATCCGGCGGTCAGGACCCCCAGCTTAGGGAGGCTTAGGATTTAGGGTTTAGGGGTTTAGGGTTTAGGGTTTGGGGTTTAGGGTTTCGGGGTTTAGGGCTTAGGGGTTTAGGGTTTAGGGTTTCGGGGTTTAGGGCTTAGGGGTTTAGGGTTCAGGCTTAGGTGGGCCTTAGGGAGGTTCAGGGTTTTTGGGGTTGGGAGGAAGCTGAGGATTGTCGGGAGGTTTCAGGGAGGTTTAGGGAAGTTTGGGAGGGTTAGGGAAGTTGAGGAAGGTTCAGGGAGGTGTAGGGAAGTTTGGGAAGTTTGGGAGATTTAGGGTTTGGGGTTCAGAGTTCAGGGTTGAGGGCTCAGGGTTCAGGGTTTAGGGTGTGCGGCAGGGTTTCAGGATACGGATCCTGTAGGGTTGAGCGTTGTGGGGTTTGAGTGTTTGTTTACATCTGGACTGGATTGCGTAGAGTCAAGAGGATTGATGAGATTTGCCAGCTCATTGCGGCATGAAATGACTCGTGACCCCTTGAGTGTGTTCCGGGTGTTTCCATGTTTTCCACGTGCCCAGGTGTCGCCTGGCACTGCTGCGGAACACGCATATGCTCACCGAGGACCTTGTCGAGTTCGGGGTGTGCGTGTGAGCTGCGCGGCAAACCTGCGGGCCTTGAATGTTCGGAATGTGGCGACGCGTGAGCCGCGTGAAGAAGCCCTAAGCCCCCAAACCTGCTGTAAGAGGGCAGAGAGCCAGTTGTGCAGCTCAAAGCTTCCCCCTTGGGAAGCACACAGAACCTCCCTAGGAGTGGTTCGATGTCTCGTCGAAGGCGGGCCCCAGGAGTGGACATACACCCTGCCTTCATTGATTCGGAGGGCTTAACGGGTTTCAGCCAAAGGTTGGTCTCCGAAAGCGCTGCACGGTGTCTGGATGCGAAGCAATCAAATTCCACGACGGTGTTGCTACTTGTTCATCGCTGTGCTATTGCTCTGGTATTCTGATATTCGTGCATACTCGAACTGTTTCGTCGTGTTCGATCATGAGGAAGCTCGCCCACGAAAGAGAAACAGAGAATGCGCAGATGTTAAAATGTAGAAAACAACATCAATATTATGGAGTAAGAGCTAAAGAATAGATTGCATTGTACTTGACAGTGTATAGCATCCTGCCCAGACAAACCGGAAAAAATCAGTGCCCTTTAAGCAAGTCCCAAGCATGTATTGAATGGACGCAAGAAAGGGAAGTATTGTGATACATTCAATCGCACGCTCTTCATACGCAAGTGTGCAAGTAGTTTAGAGATTGAGTTTATGGTACTCAGTACAAAATCAATCAGTTATACAACATTATATGTAGATAAAATCATGTATCCTTTGATTTTGGCAACAAATGCGATTGTGAATGTGAAAAGAGTGATATAGGACATTGTCCTAATTGTCAGATATGTAGAGGTCCTTCAATGTTTAAGAAGTCTTAACAAAATCGGAAACGACAACAGATTACGTAGCAGATGCTTAGTTAGTATGCATAGACAAGTATTTAGAAGGTTTTTAACGTAAAGTGTTTAAAGCTGTTTAACGCAGTTTTAATCTATCACGTTTATGTAGTATGAGTGATGTAGATGATGTTGAAAAACATGAAAAACCACAAACGGATCAGTGGCCAAACGATTTTGGATTTATTGAGAAAAAGACTGATGAATGAATCAAGAAGCAGTATCCAGAAAACAAACCAAGTGATAAAGATAGTTGTTTTTACAAGAATGAGAGACATGTAGTTAACCTAAGTTAAAAGTACATGACAATATTATTTTCAGAGAATGTACATGCAACTATAAAGAATGTGATGTATATAAAGCATTGAAAGGTTTGAAGGAGAGCGTTTATGATTGTCGGATGACACAGTTTGAAGATGTGGTTGAACCAATTGAGGTTTTACCAGTGGTAAATGTCGTTAAGCAAGTTCTGGACTACATCGCAAGCTATGAAGAACAGAATGTTATTAATGTATTGTTCCATGCAACGGTCATTTCCCAGTTCAGAGTTTTGGCCCATGAGGGTCGCTGACCCCAGATGATCAAAATATTGGTTATCGAATGGGTGAGGTTAAGGATTGTTTAGGCGCTTTGTGCTTTGGGATTGTCTTTTGGTTGTTGGTTTTGGTTTTTGGGGATGGCTTTGTTGTGTGGTTGTGTTATGGATTATGGTGTAGATGTTGGGGGTTGCTTTGTATTGAAAGTGAGGTCCGGGGTCAGCCTCTGCTTGCTATACGAGGGGCGAAGATGGGCAGGGGGGGGGAGTCCTTGACTGGGGGCGGGAAGAGGGGGTGGGGGGGTGGGGGTGGGATTGTTTTGGATTTAGGGTTGCAGTACACATGGCAGTGAATACCTGGAGCAGGTGCCCCTGCGTTTCTACTTCTCGTCGTCGTACTTTGACAAAAGCTCGGCATACACCGTGGCTGCAGGTTCCTGAGTCATCATGCAACATCATGCAGTACCGTCACAAGTCATGCATGTCAGCCGCCAGTTTCAGAGTTGTGCTTATTGAACTCCAAGCTCACGCCATCTGGGCTCTGCAACATCTGAAAGCCCTTCAGCTGAAGTCCTATCAACAGCGGTCCTGGTATGTAGACATGCCTCCAACAATACGATTATTGCACCATATTGCACCATTCCAAAGAAGCCTTCACCCGAGGTCCGATGGCTGAGACCCACCGAGTCGGTCAATCGCCATTTTTACATTGGACACACCTAGTGCCGTGGTCCCTCTGTGACTAGTTGTGAGAATGTTTAGGCAGAACGACGAGACAACCCCATGGGTGCTCTTGATGTTGGAGTGTATGCACAACCCATGACGTGCGATGTGACACCTTCCGCCCTTTCTGGCCATTGAGGCCGTGCGTAGCGGGACATCCGTAGTTGCAGGGCGTGACGTGGGGGCGCAGGCTGCATGAGCCACTGGAGTGGGAGCCTGGTCCAGCAAGCCCGAGCACAAGGTGCTTCAGGGCTCAGACCCTGTAGAAGCAGATTTCCAAGCACGCTGACTCTCCTCGCGCTCGCAACGTGCAGTACTTACAAACGGCCTGTATCTTGCTATCGTCGGTGCTTGAGACATCCAGAGATTTGCCCTGTAGTAAGGGTAAACACAGGCATTCCCACCAGGCCAGCGCAGCCAGCACGCGGCAGAGCCTAAGAAAGGGGCCTTAAGAATTATAATCGGGTTTTGGGGGTTATTCTGGTATAATTATATAGGGACCACAAAGGAATATCACTAGTACTTATTCCCGACCCCGATATTAAGTTGAAAAGACATCTCCAAAGTCTTGGTCTCCTGTATCAGATTGTACCCTGGAAGCTATCCGAGCCTGCCGGCTGCCCCACGTTCGGTTTTCTGAATTTGTACTTGGACCTCGGCAGGTATCTTTCCGAGCTGTCAGACATACAAGAGCTACAAGAGACTTTCAATCTCTGAACCCTAAGCCCTCAAGCGGCGCATGAATAGGTAGTTTTTGTGTCAGAAACCATGGGCGTTTTTTGAGTACCCTAAATACAGGGCTCCATGTGGCCATTTGCCATGCGGAATTCCGTTTGTTGCTTGTTCCTCATGGTGTTTGAGTTGAATGCACGCTTATGTATACATGTACATGCACGGGAAGTTTATTTGCCATTTTGAGGCTGAAGCGTGTGCTTGGGTGCTGGCTTCCTTTCATTCGTTTGCTTACAATACGATTCAGTAGGTGAAAAACGTATCTGCAGACATGGACATGGGTTACTTTACGGACCCGTGGACCAAGATTCTATATATACATGTATGTACATGTACACACATATGTATACATATATATATCTATATATATATATGCCTGTGCTTGTATCGTTACCATATTCATATGTGTATCTTGCTCTGATAGTAGCAGCCCTTCGTCAGAAGAAGGCAGCAGCTTTGTGGTGCCCGTTCTTTGGCCTCACGAGAGGTCGTTGCCGGAAGGTGCCGGAAAGTCCTCTGCTGGAGGTCCTTTTCATCCCACATTCCTCGAGCGCTCCGCTCAGAGAACGGGGCTCAAAGTTCCGAGAGAGGCCCCATTTAGGCCGTTTAGGAAGACCCCCCGAGCCACGATACAGGCATTGGGCTGATGTTTCGGGCTGACTGTTGTTTGCTGCTGGGCAAGACGCACTTGTGCACTATAAGCTTCTGTTTGTGTTTGTATCTGCTACTAGAACGGGCTGCAAAGGTCCTAGGTTTCATGAGCCTTGCCCCTGCGGGAGAAAAAGGGCTGGAGATGCAGTTTCTCGCATTGTTTCCATTACACGACACTGAATCCTTGCGATTGTACAATGCGTACAGATCCGGAGTTGCTCAAGTAGAGCATTGGCAACCTGGTGGGAACTTCAGAAACTCTGCTACCACTAGTTAATTCCCTCCTGGGGTCATGTTCCTGGGGGTGAGATGCAACATGCTGAGATATGCTTGAGGTCTCTTACGGTGCAGACTGGCAGGATAAGCAAGGCAAGCCACAGCCGTCCTGGCAGCTGAAGCTGAAGTGGTCGTGATGTTGTCGTGGTCGTGGTCGATGTGGTCGTGGGGGTGACAGCGACGCTGAGGGTAAGCAGCTCTCTGGGCAGGCGGGCAGTCTTTGACTGGATCTTTGTTGCTGGTGCTGTAGCAAGCTGTAGCATGGCAAGCCACAATGCGTTCGCATCGACATTACCTTCAAATTTGAAAGAAAGTCACCCAAGCCACATGTTGCCGTCAATTGCGAACATGAACTGTTTGCTGATCACAGTGAGTCAACATCCGCAATGCGGACTTCAGACACTTGGTTTGAACAAGACAGAGATGGACGGTGGGGAGAGCACCAAGTACCTCGCCTAGACTAACAAGCAAGCCTCACCCATTTGGGTACTTCCTGAGATAGGCGCCTCTTGTGCGCAGCAAGTGCAATCCCCTGAATAAGGATCCCCAAGCTAGGTATCTTAATGTTACGAGAACAACAATTTCATGCTTCAGCTTCCCATTCTGTTTAGGGTTTAGGGAGCTTTGGGATCTCAGCTCAAAACCTGGATCCCATGCTATGGCTAAGCCCTGCGGCAGCCTTCCGCGTACTGCTGCTCCACGTGCTGCTAGCGCCGGGGTGCATGGGTGGCACTTGAGGGTACAAGTGCATTTGGTGGTTTCCCAACATCTAGGGTATTTGGGGGGTCCTTATATAGGGAATTTACTCTATTCGGGGGTATTCATATATATATATATATACACACATACATACATACGTACTATGTGTCTACATACGGGGTACCCTATCTTTGAGAAAAAACGCCATTCTGCAAAGATCAAGCACTCCCTTGATAGGATCGGCATGAAGGGCTCCACTCCACAATCCCGTGCTCCCCGCCCTCTTTCCAGGAGCCGTGAGCTTATCTTTCATAGGAGAGGACTCTTCCAAGATCCATATGTCGCGCTAATTTATTGAAGCACCTTAGCCTGTAAGCTCCTCACACGGATAAGCAACAACGCCACTGTCGAACGGCACTGACGAGCATGCTCGGAGGCACGCGCGGCCATACCACCTGGCAACCTGCGTACCTGGAGGCCTCACACCCAAAAGGTCCCAAAAGCAGGCAGAGGGCCTTGAAAGGGCGGACTTGAAGTCTAGGTTTCCAAGGGTCCGAAGCACCCAGCAAGCAGTTGCTTCTGCTTCATAGAAAGAAGCACTGTCAAGCTTGCCTGTGCCTCCCCCAGCCCCCGACAAGACTGAAGTTTCACACGAGTCTTTCCAGAGGCATCATTCTTCGGCAGAAGCCGCCGCAGCCTCAGGGGCAGCCCGACATGCCTTTATTACGGGGCGTGGATGCAAGATTCAGTCTGAATGCATATCTTCTCCTAGTGCTGCAGTTCGGGTGTGATGGCGAGGCTCCCGCATGTGACGCAGATGTCCCGTCAAGACAAAGTGTGGTGGTTGGAACGTAGTGGTATTTTGCTCTGATCCTTCCGCTTTCTTGTCCAGGACCAAAGGGAAGGTCTTCGCCTACGGCGTGTCGCTGCAGAACTTCATTCCGAGCCACAGGGCGACATCTAGACCTGGAGGGCCTCAGGGCCTGAGGGCTCCTGTGACATTCAGGGCTCAATGACTTGACGCTTTGGAGATGCAGTTGTTTAGGAACGGTATATTGAAGTCATGGTACCAGAGTCCGAACTCCCTCCCCCTTCCCCTCCGGCCTGCTCCACATTCTGAGGCTATGGCGAGCTGAAATTGGTAGCCAAAGGTTCGGTGCCGCTTGGCAGCAGCAATGACATGTTGAGAGCCGACAGCCGATAATGTAATGTAAAAGAATAACATATCAATATACGAATGTATTCATATAACAGTGTGGTATAAACATCACGCAACCTAACAATAGAACAACAGAAAATTGTAACAATATCACCATGTTTTGACGTCGCGCCAGTTCCATATGGAGTTCGAGAGCATGCAAAGATCTATTCAAAATCTGGTGTCTGTGTTGGTTTCCACAGCCGGCACACCTTGCATGGTCCAAGCAGTGAATACAGACGGCTGGGAGGGGGGGCTTTAAGACAGGGGTATCTCTACACGCTAGTGCAGTGCCTTCTCTAAAATGCTGGTACTGGACGTTTCTGCATGCAGGATCCAGTGCATGGACAGCGCCACGGCCATTAACGGCCACTATACTCGCCCGGAGACTGTTCTGGACAGGCCAGCGCGGCTTTGTAAAACCCTACTCTAGTCAGGTGGGCGTGCACATGGGTAGTTCCACAACAAATATGCCAATCCTTGTCACAGGAACCCCATAACGGGAAGAGCCCGAATTTTGTGAAAGCGGCTTCCGGAGCGACGCCGGTGGTGCAGGTACTCGCTCACAGCAGTGACCCCTGATGAGCTCGCAAGCGCGAACTTGAACTACATGTACATCTTCGACGATCACGCCCCTTACCTGCATAAGAAGAAACGTCCCAAGCCGAGCGGCGCCAACAAGTGGCTTCTTCCCGTGAGCGATTCACTTGGTTGCGGCGGCTCTGCGTAGCGCACCGGCAGGTCTCTCTCTTTCCCCTGGGGCCCCCGTGGGTCCTGATTTCCAGAGCCGCTTTATCCAGCCTGGAACGGTGTGCGCATCTAAGGACAAGCAACGCGGGGCGGACTTGCACGTGTAATCTTCGCTTGTTCTGCATTCTGCAGCAGTGGCAAGTGTGGTCCTTCAACTTCCCGGATGTTGTTCAGCATGTTCTCCGCTTTTGTGCCGCTCTGCACCATACTTGGCATCTCTGCCCCAAGCGTGGGGAAGCTCACAAAAGGTGAGCTGCTCCTGCTTCTCTCAGCATCAAGCCTTCCGGCTCTGCAAAGGTATTCTTGAGCCGGGCTTAGACTCAGAAACTGGACGTGAATTGCTGCGAACAAGTTCCCTGGCCGGGCTTGCAGCGGTTTGGACAGTGTGGGGGGTTTCAGAGAGGCTCGGAGACATAACAGAATGATGGTGCAACAGTTCAAAGCAATATGTGAGAGAACATACTGCAAGAACAGTAAGAATTAGTATAGAGGGATCGCTGCAGAGATTCACCCAGCAAAGCCCAGCTTCGAACACGTTTGTGCGGCTCGAAAGCTTCCAAAGCTTCGGGGAGGGCTGAGCTTGGAGCGGGGAGGAAGGGACGTCACGGGCCCGGAATGGTGGAAGTTGCTCGGAGTTGCTCGGAGTTGCTCGGAGTTGCTCGGAGTTGCTCGGAGTTGCTCGGTATCCAGCTTGGGATGGTTCAGAGTGTGTGGAGATCGAGCCTGTGTAATGTCCAGCTAGGACAGCTCTCTACTGTCTTGAACCTATGTGCGCTGAGGCAAGATGCAAACCAGTAGTGTGGTTGGTTTCGCAGCCAGAAGTGCCCTGACGCGACTCGAAGTGATCTGACTCCGTCATCATGATGCTACGAAGTAGTCACCAGATATCTCAGGCCGGCCCTTGATGTCTTTCGCGCCGCCTGTTCGCCGAGCGCCAGGGCCTTGACTTTCCATGTTAGGCTTTGCTCTTTGCCAGAAAGCGCCCGCTTGTTGAGTGCATTGTGCCATGGGGGCTTCCGCCCTTTGTGGCGGCTCCTAGAGGAAGCATGAGTGTGTCTTGGGGTATATCCAGGGGTGCCCCTATGTTGCGAAATGTCAAGCTTGTCAAGATCAACCGGTTAGGGCTTTTATAGCTAGGTGATGACCCACCCAGAAACCCTTCTCTCAGAGGCCCTCCTCTTGTGAAACCACTCCTGCACCTCTTGAGGCCGGTGAGCAGTGGGCCGCGCTCCTCCCAAGGGCGGTGCCCTCGGCCGTAGTATCAGACCTGCGGGCAGCATGGGCACATGGGCAGGGTTCGAGAGGGCTTGCAGCTGGGCGTGTCTTTGTGTTTGATGCTCACCAATGGGCCCCTGAAGTTCCAGATGCTAAACCCTAAACCCGAAACCCTAAACCCTAAATCCTAAACCCTAATTGAATTACGGGCCCCAAGTCTGGAGCCTCAGCCCGCGGAGGTCACGGGCCAGCGTCACTGCGTTGTCGGAGAAGGCCTGGTTTGGTGGGTTTCAGGGATCTAAGGGATTTGGGGGGTTGTGAGGGGTTTAAATTTTTTGGGGTTTGAAGTTTGAGGGGGCTTTAGGGGGTTTGGCTTTAGGTTTTTTTGGGGGTTTAGGGGTTTTAGCCCCTTAGCCTATGGAAACGGGAGATCGGGCAGCTTCGGCTATAGATTTGGATGATTCTCTGAGAACCTTCCGAGTGGTCCTGGGCTTTGTAAGTCTTGGCACGATGCTTCGCGGTTAGTGGTCTTGAAGCTGGCCTTGAGCCTCTGGTGGAACCAGCAGTGGGTGTGGTGAATCAGGGCCTACGTGAATAGAATGCTCCGAACTCGAGGCGAAGACATAGTGGCCATTCTTCTCAAAGTAGGGATACCCCCCAAAATACTCCAATCCTTACGAAAATAGCCCACCTGTACCAGTCGTGAGCATGTTGGACTCATCCTTGAGAGCAAAGCATCACAAGGTTCTCCAGCTCCAACCTTCGACCTTCAGCCCCCCAAAAGTTGCCTGAAAGCCCCCCCCAACTTCTGGGTTTTGGAGATTCTAGGGTCCCACAGGATTGGGGCTTAGGGGTCCTAAACCCTAAACCCTAAACCCTAAACCCTAAACCCTAAACCCTAAACCCTAAACCCTAAACCCTAAACCCTAAACCCTAAACCCTAAACCCCTGGCTCTTTCGGGTTTAGGGACATGGGGTCCGAACCCCAAAAAACCGGGTCCCAGAGATGGCCAGCGCCTCCCGAGGATGCCAGCCCCCGCAGTGCAAGCCCGACGGGTCGGGAGAGCCCTAGCGTTCTAAGGCCGATGCAAAGGGTGCTTTGCAAGGGTTTAGGGTTTAGGGTTTCGGGTTTAGGGTTTAGGGTTTACCGTCGTGTATAGTATCAGATGTAAAAAGACTCTGCATGGTTTTGGTCATCTGCTTCTGATGGTCTGAGGGTTTAGCCGGGACACGCAGTCGAGACCTTTTCTCAGCAGTGGCTTGTGCAGACTGTGCAGAAGCACGATTACATTGCAGACCATCACTCCCCAGCGCTTCGTGTGCTCAGGGACGACCGGCCCATGACAGTCCACGAGGCAAAAGATGCAAAATTTATGCGAAGCTCGTGGTTTTGTGACGGGTCTCACATCTCTTGATGGCATCCGCAAGGGTGTACATAAATATATAAAAAATTTAGATCTAACTATAAATATACATGTACATAGAGTTAGAGATAGAAGTAGAAATAGAAATAGAAATGAAATAGAAACAGCAATATAAATAGAAATAGACATGAAATAGAAATAGAAATATAAGTAAATAGAACTCATATATATATATATACCTTTCTATACATATTCCTGTATTAAGAAGTTCTGTCGGAAAAGTTGGCCAGGCAAGCCGAGCGAAGAAGGCCAGGGAGTCCAGTGAGCTGCCGAGAGATCATTACATTCAGAGGTTGATACCGTTGTAAAGCTTCGAATGTGGGGTGCCGCAGAGTCCGTAGAGTACTTCAGAGGATAGCCTGGCAGGCGATTGACCGAAACCGGAAAGCCATCGAGAACCGCATCCGATACTTCCAAAAGGAAGAGGCCCGCAAGCAGCCAGTTCAGCACAATCAGCTCCAGTGCAGTAGGCCACGCTGACCCTTGCAGCCCAACCGCGGCGACATGAAGACTGCAGATCGGCAGTGATTGTCGAATCCTTCCGCCAGGAGAAGATTTGGAGGGATCTGGAGGAAGTGAGGCGGCAGGCACTGGAGAGCGTTGCCGGTGCATCTGTTTGTCGTTACTTGTTCATCACTCCTCCTGAAGTCCTCGCCCCCCTCCTCCCTGCTGCAGTCAAGAGGCTAGTTTAGGCTTCTAGGGACAGCAGCGCGCCTCCTCAAATCGGACAGGCAGCGGCCATTGAGGCCGGGCAGAAGGGTTGCTTTTGATGCTGCCTAGTTCTTCCAGCGCCCTGATTGTTGGATATTCGTGTGGGTTGGTTTATCTTGTTTGTGGGGGCGAAGAAGACGTTGAGGCGGTCGGGCATGTGACGTCCTAGAGCAGTCCTGTGAAAATTCGGGTTCAGCGCGACATCCCACAAGGGCCGTCTTACCCTCCAACAGTGTAATGGCTCCCGAAATAATCGATGAGTGGTAAGTCATCCCCAGGAGGGGCGATCACGGACCATCGAAAAGAAGCTGGCAGACCGAGCCATCCAGCAGGACTGGCGCCAGAATGGTGTCGGCTTGTTGCTTCTTGTGCCGTGAGAATTGAACCGCTGTGGAGGAGAGAGACCTCCTACTTCAGCAGAACAGAGTTCGAGCTGCCCAAAACAGGCACGGATGTACAGAGCATATGTAGTGCCCTTCATGGTGCCACCAAGTCGACGAGATGCGTTTCGTTTTCTAACCAAGAGCACCACATTCAAACACAGAAAAGCATCAGTGCACCGACATTGGCAACGGCTTCATGAAGCTCAAGACCCCCCCCCCCCCGTCCCCATCCCCCACCTGCGCCTCACACGCCTGGGTATGCTCCCTGAAGTCTTGATCTAGTCAAATTCTTGTCCTTCGAGCATTCGTGCTTGCATGGGTGCATTTCTTAGAGCTGCAGCCCCCACCAAGCCACAGGGCAAGAAAGCGCAGGGATAGCAGGGAAGCTTGAACCAAGGCATCAGCTTGAAATTTTGAAGTCGCAGCCCGAAGAGACTGCCATTGACTGCAATAAGCAAGACGTGGCAAGTAGCCTGTCATCTGGACCCTCAGTTCTTGCATGAATTTTGCCAGAATCTCTCTCACAATGTTGTGAATGCATCACATCCAGAAGTGTTGCGCAGCTGTCCCAGCAGCGCGATGCTTCGTTTTGATGATCGAGAGCTGCTTCTCAGATAAGGTGTGCCTGATCTATATCCATGCCTCATGTCACTCAGCTTCCTTGGCAGAGGAAGTGAGGTGGGAACCTCTGCCCCCTCGTTTAAAGTTTGGTATGCTTTAGTTGCTTGGTTCCAAGGTGAGTGAGCCCACACACAATCCACACACACACACACATGTGCACACGGAAGTTCCTTGCCACCAGGGTCACCGTCTCTGACTACCGGAAGCAGCAGCAGCCAGAGCCCAAGGTCCCAAAAGAGGATTAGTCAATTTGCAGGTTTCGGGTTGAGGGTTTAGGGTTCCTTGGCCAGTCCTGTGGCTGATGTTGACACGAATGTTTCATGGAGTCTGTCCGCCGTACGAGTTGTCGAGTGGAACTGGGAAGAGTGCCTGCGGAATGCAAAAAGTGTGAGAATCTCAGGAACCACAGAATGCGAAGGTCAGAGCCAATAGATTGACGGGTCCAGTTCGTAGAGTCCGTATCAAGGACAGAAGCAAAAACACAGGCTTCTGCCCTTCACACCTCCTGCACATATGATGCCGGGCATCTTGAGAGAGCTGCATCTTGGGAGAGGCTGCTGGGGCTCAGGTTCGAAACCATGCGCGAGAAGCAGGTTTCCGCGCAGGCTCAGCGCGAATCCTCGCAGGCCGGGGAGCAGCAGATTTTGCCACAGCCGGGCAATGCTGGAACGGACTTGCATGGGACTCACATCTGGTTCACGGATGCTGCGCGATGCATGTAGCAGTTCCTGTGACACTTGCTGCCAGACGGCCTTTTTTCAAGTACAGCCTTGGCATAAGCCGAAGGCCATCCTGAAGCAGAAGAGATTGCTGGAGATGGAGGCCAAGGGTTTAGGGTTTCGGGTTGTTGCAAGCGCTCTTCATAGCCTCACCCTTGGCAGTCCTAGAAGGGGCAACCCTACACATCCCTGAACGCCCTAAACCCGCCTAAATCCTACACCCCCCTGAGATTCGGCGCATGAATTCGGAGAAGGCGGCCCTGATACAGCTTAGACCTCAGAGGGCGATGGAGCGGGGTTTCGGAGGTTTCTGGGGGGAGCGAAAGTTTATTGGGAAAGTTTGAGGGGTTCTGGGTTCAGAGTTGGGGCTCTTCGACCTTGCGCAGTGAAACTGTGAGACTTGTGAGTGGGGACCTCTCTCAGTTCAGTGAGCGCCTCGAAAGGGGTGGACGGAGGCAATATGCAAAAGTCCGACTCACTTTCAAAAAAACATCAAGAAGCGGCTGTTCATTCCTTTGGGATGTCTGGAGGCTTTTGAAGGTGGCTAACTTGAAACATGTTGCCCTGTAAGCTGTCAATATGATGTTGCAACTGTACGTTCTGCAGCAGTGACTTCCTTTCGGGCCGTTTCCTTTTACAAGATTGGTGGTGGCACCTCGCGGGCCTGAGGATCTCGCAGAAAGAGGCGCGCTCGCGGGCCGCCGACTGAGACCGTTGGTCTGTCTTCTTGTTTTTGGTTGAGGTTTCGGATGTGGGGCTTAGGGTTTCGGGGAGTTCTAATCGAACCTGCGAACAGCTCAGTATGGCCCTGTGTGGCATTGTACCAGCACACGAAGCTAGGATGACACACCCTTTGCCGCCATCATGATCACGTGATCCAAGCTCTCCGCTGCCGCTTGCTGACCGCGACTCGAATGCCAAGGCCAGCCAGGAGCGCGCGGCGCGCATCGAACGCATGCGGGAGTTCCAGGCGCCTTGCTCGAGAGCGATGAGACAGCGATGGGAGAGCGATGCCGGCATCATTGTGCGCGATACGCTTTTTGATTTCCCCTGGAAGGGTGGCTGTCGACAATATCGTAGATCGTAACTTTGATGGTGGTGCGTGCCGGCTTTGATTTGTTCTGTTTGAGTTGATCCAGGGATGCCCCTTCGTCAGCTTCTCGCTCTCTTCTTCCTGTTGGTGGTCCTTAACAGTCCCAGGGAAAGGTTCTCCTCAAGCGCACTGTTCAGGAGCTGGAGCGACAGCAAGCCGAGCACGAGGTCATTCTGAGCTTCAGAGAGTGGAGAGTTGGCAAAGTCCTCTTTGGTCTCTGCTGGCGAAGTTGCTTCGCTGCGTAGAGATGTGGTAGCGCTTCTTCTAGGATCCACCACCCTTGAGCCCAAGCCGGCTACCAGCTACCATGGCATGGAGTATGGAGTATGGGTTTCGGGCTCAGGGTTTACTAGTATGTCCTGCTTGCATCTGAAGGTCATGGAAGCAGAGTCCACGCTACCGGAACTGGAGGAGTCGTGTCGGGATCTGCATTCCCTTCTCTTGTGGCTCGATGGCCAACCACCAAGATGAACCATGCCCCTTCAGTTCTCGGGTTCTCGGTGCAGGAGCAGGAGCTCATCTGCCTGCAGCGCCTGCAGAACTCGCGCATCGTCACCCAGTCGGTCCTTGAGGCTGGGCATGGTCGCGCAGTGTTTGGGGTTTGGGGAAAGCTGTGACCGGGAGAATCCGAGATGCATGTGGGAAGGAGCTGGAGACTCGTCTTGGGTCACAAAGTTTGCACCCCAGCAGGCTGCTTCAAATTTTCAGCCGGTGCTCAGACTTTGCCGAGCTAGACCTTAGGCTTTCAATCCAGGGCGGCCAGAAGCAGGAGTGTGGTACAATCAGATGCAGATACCTGGGGTTCCAAGGCTCCGTGACGACCCTGCTCCGTTCGAAGCAGGCAGAGAAGTGGCACCGCTTCGGACCATAGACCACATATATATATATATATATACATATTTCGTTAGAACAATGATTGCCTATGCTCAGAAATGGAGATAGATCCAAACACCAACCCGCCGTTAGCCACAAGCCTGCGGAACTGCAGTCATCACCCCTGGCCGGAGGCCGCGTTTTAACCGGGCTTTTGATGAATGATCTTTATGCTGTCTATAAACATACTAATTTGCTGGTCACCTTTAGGAGAAGTGAATTGTGTGCTCCTTAAGCATATTCAAAAAGAGAGCGAACGGACTGCACTTCCAGCAAAATTGGAAGCTCGTTTCAGCCCTTCTATCTGCAAAAAATCAGCTAGAGAATATTTGCTGCATTTCGGCGGGGTTTTACGAGGGACGTTGCAATTCATCGAGACTGATCGCCTGACTATTGATGACCTTTGAGATTATTTTCATCATTGATGCTGGTGACTATGTAATAAACTCCTATTAGTAGTTCTAGTTCCAGTTGACTTTCATTGAGGATTTACAGTCCACTTGATTTCTAAAGACTCCTATAGAAGATCTTCGTCCCTTTCACCTCGTGTCTCAATAGAAGTCTTTGAAAGGAGTTGCTGGGTCTCTCTTGTTATTGGGATATGCTTCTGTTTAATTTTAGGATTGCTTTGCCTCCAGCCACGAATTGCAGTACATATGTGTGTATATATTAATATCATATGGACAATTCATAATGAACATGTGTAACGCGCACTTTCTGTTTTTCGTTGTATCTATCTATCTGTGGATCTATTTCTACATATATATATATATATATATATATGTGTGTGTGTGTGTGTGTGAGACATCTACATGACATGTATAGATATATATATATATATATATATATACATGTACTATATACACATATTTATTTCTATTTATGGAGTAGACGAAGGGCCTGGCATGCATCGACTTTTGAGCTCCAGGGCCTGGACTCCGTCGGTGGCCTTTCGACTGGCCTCCCCGCAGAGACGGAGGCTGTGTCGGTTGCGCCATGAGGTTTTTAGGGTTTAGGGTTTAGGGTTCAGGGTTCAGGGAGTGGGGTTTAGGTTGCAGTGGAAGCCCCAAATCCCAAACCCTAACAGCTTAAACCCTGAGCCCAAAACCTCAAGCTGTTTGTCACCACGATTTCAGACCCTTCGCACATTCCCCTTCTCCAAGCAGGCGGTTGAAGAAGTTAGGGAAGGGATGATGTAACTAGGCTGGAAGGCAATGTCTGTAGTCATGATAGCCTGAATACTAACTGTTGGAGACTTCAAAATGGCTACTGCTCAGATGCAAAAAAATCACTGCTTGCTGTGAAGCTGCTTCATGGCATAAGAACGCTGCGGGTTGTATGATATACATATATACATATAGATATGTATATACATATCTATATATATGTCTAACCATTCGGAAAAGCATAACATCTACAATTTAGGTATCCATGCTTCGGAAAGCCCACACTCCTCAACTCCCAGGGCGCTGCAGTCGACACCAAGCTGGCTGAGCTCTCAGACTTCCCGTGCTCTTCCTGTGCTCTTTGCGATGACATGGGCTCTTGATGGGACGAGAGACGAGGGCGAAGATTCCCCCCCGGGATACTCCGTCATTCTCTCATTCTCTTAATCTGTTATTCTATCATTCTCTTTCTTTATCAACTTACAAGTATATTGATGTATTTCTGTGTATGGTCATTAAGATAATCAGTATTCTGATATTCTCATGTTATCATGTTATCATATATTGTCACATTATCGTGTTATATTTTCACATTAGTATCAAATTATGATCATATTACTATCATATTCTTATCATATGGTTATCATATTATTATCATATTTCTATTATATTTATCATATTATTATCATATTATCATATTTATCATATTGCTGCCATATTATCATACTATCATACTAGTATATTATGATGCCAGTAGTACATTATTGTATGATTACATTCGATGAACACTGTACATGTGTCATTATCATCTAGTATTCCTTTATAAACATGCTATCCAATTCTGGTGTTAAACAATTGCAAGCATACATGTTCTAATCTTCGATTGTTCCATTCTTCCCTTATCTTATTCTTAGACCGGATATCTCTCCCACTGGTCTGCCCATTTGTGTCCCGTGAAGTTAGTAGAACTGGATGCAGCAACTCCAGTTTGGGAGTGTTCGATGCTTTTGTCGCGTGCTGAGAATCAGGTGGGCTACAAAATTCGACTTGTCTGTTTGCCAAGGGATGAAGAGCAGTGGTCCTGAATTGCTGTTTGGGCTTGGGGCTTGGATAATTCTGTTATTCGACTATTCTGTTTTTGTTATTCTATTTTTTACTTCTTCTGGCATTAATATATGAAGCCTCTGCTTTCAGGTCGAGTCTCAAAAGGATGCCTCGCCAGGCAGGGCTAAAAACCTCATGCATGGTGGATTCGGATGTAAGGTCTACTCGTAGCAAACTCTAACTGGCAAGCCCCACGCTGCCCCTCGCCGCCCCCTGACCACCCTCGAAACACCAACTTCTCACAAAGACCCAATGCGTCGAAACCCGCAGCTATTGAAATGGCCTGTAACCTCCGGTGCCCATGCGGTTGAGGCTTGGGATTCGAGTTTATCACATGTGGGGCTTAAGGAGCCGAGGCCCCAAAACCTGAATGCTCTTCACCAAAAGGGCTGGGTGCTTTGGTGTCTGTTTCGCGCATGGTAGCCGCAGAATCGGTTCTGGGATTTCCACACGTGCGCAGAGAAGTGCAGGCGAAGAGACCGCATCATAGCAGGCCTCGCCGTGAGGTGGGGGAGGGTGGGAGTTCTTAGGCCTAGGGCCTGTAGGGGCTTCAAGCATCTGCTCAGCGTTTCCGGGCTCGGCTGTGAAATAGGGCTTCTGCCGGCTGTTGTTCCGCAACCGAAGAATGGGAATGAGATAATGAGAACGTAAGGTGGAATGCATGACCATCATGACATGTGCCCGAGGCTGCACTGCGTGAGATGTTGCAGTGGCGACTGCTTTCGTGAATGCCGTTTCAACCACTGAAGCTCAAGCTCTACTCCTGCAGACCCCCGGAGAGATCACTACATGATCGAGATTGAGACTAATCTGGTTAGCCCTAAACCCTAAACTTCAACCCAGAACCCTAAACGATGCGGGGTCCGGGTCTTTGAAGTAAGGCTTGTAGGCACGGCAAGGAACACCTAGAGACTGGCATCCGCCGGCGCAGCTTCGCGCCGCAGGGGCACTGGTTTCTGGAGACTGTATATCTACATCTAGATGTATTTGAAGATCTATGTATATATATATATATATACATAACATGATATGATATATGTTTACTGCTACATGGTATGTATGATTAAATATATACACGTATAGATGCAACCAGCGCCCCTGATAGCGGATTGTTATTCGAAGACAGTGGCAAGTCAACAGGTTGTATACCATAGCTTCGTGTGCCGGCTTTCTCAAAGGTATGGTGTCCTTGCTGTCCCGGCTTTTGTGCATCGCCTGCTAATGCGATGAAGCCTGTGCGAAAAGACAGGAGGCAGATGACGCTCAATGTCCGCATCCCGCAAAGATGCGGCACGATGGAGTAGAGCAAACAAGCAGCCTAGCCAAAAAGCCTGGAACCGCACCACTGAGCATTGAGACACCCAGAATACACCCAGACACCGTCGTGGGTCGCCACACAAAGAACTGGGATGCCACGGCGGAGCAGGGGAGCCCCTCCCCCGGCTCGACGTCCTTTGGCCCACAGTGCAGTACCAAGGTCAACCGAACTGCCCGGGGAGGGCGCTGGCTCTAAGAGTCTAAGAGTGCAGCTTCTGCCGTGTGCTCTTCGGTAGAGGCCATGTCAATGAGAATCGGGAAACAGAGCGCGAAAATGGGGTGAGGGCTGCAATCAGCCCACCGCTTTCCTTGTCTGCTGCAGCCTGGGTTGGGTCTGCATGCTTGATTATTGCAGGTGGTAGTATAGTCTTGAACAGCTGCAATTGGGCTCCAGAATGCGTTGGTGGCAGCTTTTCCGTGTGGGGTGTGGTTGGGGTTTGGGCTCAGGTCGTGGGTACGTAGGGTTTAGAGTTCACCGGGTTCCATGAGGGTTTGAGGGTTTGCGGATTGATTCGGGTTTAGGGCATAGAGTTTGGAGGTTTAGATGTGGGCGCGGCAGTGGGGATTCGGGTGGGGGGGGGGGGAGGCCAATGGAAGGCTCTTCTCTTCCCAAAAAGCCTACCAGCCATGCAGCCGTCTTTACGATGGAATACACCATTGGTTCTCTGCCAATATCTCAGAGGCACGCAGCCCAAAACCTGGCCGGTTTTTGTGCAAAACTTTGCGGGCGCACGGTGCACGACCCTGAGACATCGAATGTGAGAGATTGCGAGCGGCGACCTTTTTTGGATGAGACCGGCTGACCCGCCATAGGCGGATGAGAGTTGATAAGGTTCTCGTGTGGACTTTTCTACAGTTTGCCGCGAGATGTTGTGAGTGGAACCACAGGTCACAGTCGTGACATGTAATGACACTCTTCGCGCCTTGCCGCAGATCTCAGCCAATTTCCCTCACTTGCCCCTTTAGAAAGAGGGTGGCGCCGTCCCTGCAACAACCATGTTTCAGTCCTTGCAGTGGATTTTGAGGCGCCGAGGGATTCTGGGCTCCGGGCTGTAGGCTGCTAGCAGAGGGGTAACGGTTCTGCTGCAAGTCGCAGTGTGTTGTAGCAGCTGCGGCATGTTTGTGCGTTGACAGGCTCCAACACAAACAAGCGTTTTGCTAGGCTCCTAAATCTGGCAACTCCCTGTTTAAGAAGTATGCCAGTTTGGCCTACTTCATCATACCGGCTGGTGGCCGCAGCCCCTTGGCTGGTGGCAGATTGCTTTTGAGCTTCGAGCGCAGGATGAGAGGTCATTGCGAGAGCCGTTTAAGTGTGGCCACCATCTCTTTACATAATATATATATATATATATATACATATATGCCCACTGCAACGTTCGGCAGAGCTCGTGTGCAGGCTCCCGACCAAACA